GGCCTATAGGCATTATGTACAGTAAGGATGATGTCGGATATATCTGACAAATGAAACTCACAAGTAAGCCTGTATACAGTTGTAATCTAAATTATTCAGTGTATTGCAAATCATGTTCATTGGCCAATTTTCAGACTTCCAGCTGTTCTCAATGAACAAATAAAGCAAAAGTAATTGAAATAGCTCAACACAACAAATGTTTCAAGTGGTTTCTCATCTTAAAGAGGCACAAAATCTCTTTCTCTGACCTTTTTCTGGTCTGTTCCATGCTGGTGGAATGTCCCGCCCAATTCAACCAGAGCTGCTGAGCTAATAGAATATTATCTTCTATTCTATATCTCTTATCTTTAAAAAAAAAATAATAAATAAAGTACACATACTGCGTTAGATAAACTAGGCACATAGCACTTGAATACTGTTGTCCTATTGATAGTTTAACTGCTTCTATTGTTCTCATTGTAAATCGCTTTGGATAAAAGCATTTGCTAAATGAATAAATGTAAATGTCAATAGATGGTGAAATTAATGCAGGTTACTACTTTGTATATTTTAGTGTGCCACCCTAGGATTTCTTACTGTACCCCTTTGGCCATTAAAAAATATTCAGGATATATCCACTGAGACGAAAAGGGTATGTATCAACTCTTCTTAGTTAAGGGAATAACATACTTTATAATGAAAAAAAACAGCCCGTTCTCATCCTTTGGAATCATGTGACGCCATATGACGTCACCGAAATATTTCGCAGAAATACTCTGCACATGGCACCCTTTAGCGTCAATATTACACGCAGAACCCAAGCAGTCATACAGGTGACTGGCATCCTTTAGCGTCAATGAGACGCAGACCCTACCCCAGACCTAAATAGCCATAACAGTGCGTGTTATATTGGCGCTAAAGGGTGCCATGTGCATAGTATTTCGACAAAATGTATCCCTTTAAACTAAAGGTTGTATACATATATAAATTTGATACGCCACTCCGCATAGGAAGAATAGACATGCCAACTAGTGACCTGATGGAGACATATAGCTGAAGCGGACTAACAGCGTCTTGTTCTGGAGTAAGGTTTACAATCAGGTTGCGTACAAATAAGCGGGGCAGCCAGAAATCTGCCCCAATGGATCTTTTTGAGAGTGCGCTGCAGTTCCATTTTTCACCACAGATTTACATTGGAAAACTCTGGGGCACTGTAGAGCTATCAAGCTCCGAGACCGCCGGCTGCCCCGCTTAGTATCGTAAATACATGCCTGCTGAATCTATACACTACATTTTAATATATCCTGCTCACTTCATGACTTACTGTAAAATAGTCTACAGCATCCAAAACATATTTGTTGTAGAAAGCTGAACTCATTTATTTATGTATTATTAATTCAGTGCATATAGTGGTCTTTGTTTGGATGAATGTTTTGGTTTGCCCATACAGACGAGCCACGGCCTAGACACCTGGAAAATAAATGTCAACTGAAAATACACAAAAGGCCATTATGATGTTAGTGCGTGATGCACCTACAGCTCTGTGTGTTCTTCTGAACAGTCCCTATGAAAAGGTATGGAAATAGCAGCTGAAGTTAATTTCAATCATGACACCGGTCCGAATAGAATTAAACATTGTTTATTGATAAGAATAGAATGATTAGGAATAATTTTGGCGGACTAGATCTGCTGCTACTGCTGCATGAGTGAAGGCTAATGCCAAAAGATGCACATAAATCCAGTGAGCTACTGCAAGGAAACTAGGGAGAATCCCCAAGCAGATTTAGGCAGGTGGTGCTGGGGAAGTAGGAGGACTGTAAAAGTTAATAAATAAGGTATAATAATACCAATAATAATAATAATAATAATACCAAATATATAGGTTATGTAGATAGAAGAAAAAAGATTGATTGGCCAGAGCAGCCAGCTGTGTCTAATCAAAACAGTTTGTACAGCACATTTCAGTGTGGATTGCATTGTGATCCTCTCACAATGTAAAACAGCCTTTGCAAAGAGGCTTTTATTGAAGGATGCACAAAGTATAATGCACCGACAGCAAACCTGCGGCAAAGTGCTATTACTCGTTTCATGAAAAGAGAACATTTACATTGAAGTTCACAGAAGGAACAGCGGCAAAAAAAGCCTGTTTTATACTTAAATAAAGGACTTTAGATGGAAAAATTAAACAATGAAAGAGTACCCCTCAACAATACTTTTAATTACTTGGTTCTGTAGTGCTTAATATAATTTTATATTCAAATATCAAATATATTAATATTACTGTAACAGATATAAAAAAAATCTTTTTACTATTAGTTCGCAAGATCACAATGTTCATTTTGTACATATGAGAGCCTGCAGGTGGCCCAAAGAGGCTTAAGTTATTACTTACACTATCACAAAGCAAATGTTTGAGTATCTGGACAGCTGCCACAGAGGATAAGTGTGAAATGGAGATTCCATATATCTCAGAGGATAACAATGTTATCCAGCAAAGAGACAGAGAGCATCATGGACAGGAAAAGGGAGGATCAGACGAGGAATGATGTCGGAAAGAGAGAGAAAGTGCACACGGCTGGTGTAGAGTGGGTGTGGAATGCATAGGACCGGCCAAATGTGAATCTAGTCCCGCAGAGCGCATGAGGGAATTGAGATCTGCTATGACAGGAATGTGAGAGTGGGATATCATTAAGCGGGGGGAGCAGCACTTTCGTCCACACACGGAAACGAACACCACAGGGACGTACGACAACAACAACAGCTGCCTAATAATACTCACTGAACGACCGCACACTATAACTTCAAATAAAAGGACAGAAATCATTGCTGTGTGTTTCTGTATCCTTCAAGATGGCCTCTTTGAAGAGGAAGCGCTTCAAAGTTCTCTCTTCACACTGAAACGCTCATCCCCTCAAGCAATCCAGACAGAAACAGGAACAAATTGCAAACGCACTGACAGATTTTAAAATTGTGCTGCAAGACCTTTACATTCACTGTGAGGATGCGTTTATTCACTGCACTGTGTGAATACAAATTGCAAGTGACATGTAATATGCAAAAGCATTGTGAAAGGCAGGCACAAAATATATTTATGTTGCATTTCCCTTTCTATAATATGACTGTGTGTGTGTGTGTGTGTGTATATGTATATATGTATGAGTATATTTAAAAAAATAAATTCATATTTACAAATAAGAATACATACAAATCCAAATATATAGGGTGTGACTAACGGTTCGGTACGGTCCGGTATGTTCAGGGGAAAAAAGACTACTGTCAAATAAAAATTGCAACCAAGAGCATGAATTACTGGAACAATATCCTGTGGTCTGATGAGACTAAAATAAACGTGTTTGGCTCAGATGGTGTCCAGCATGTGTGGCGATGCCCTGGTGAGGAGCAAGAAAACCGTCTTACCTACAGTCAAGCATGGTGGTGATGGCATCATGGTCTGGGGCTGCATGAGTCCTGCTGGTATGGGGAGTTGAGCTTCATTGAGGAAAACATGGATTCCAGCATGTCCACAGACATTCTGAAGCAGAACATGATGCACTCCCTTCAGAAACTCTGCCGAACGGCATGATAACGACCCCAAACACACCACCAAGATGACAACTAACGTTACCTTGCTGGGGAAGCTGAAGGTGATGGAGTGACCAAGTGTTTCTCCAGACCTGAACCCTATTGAGCACCTGTGGTGATCCTCAAGCGGAAGGAGGAGAAGCACCATGTGTCGAACATCCAGCAGCTCCGTGATGTCATTATGGAGAAGTGGAAGCAACAACCTGTGCAGCTGTGGTGAAATCCATGCCTAGGAGGATTAAGGCGGTGCTAGATAACACAAAATATTGACACTTTGGACACAGTCTTGATATGTTCACTTTGAATTGTTTTCAGAGAACAGTAAATGCAAGCAAAAACAACCATCTAAATTCCCCTATAACTGTATGAGATTACAGCTTTGAGATTATATCCACATAAGCGCTCAACCTTAACTTTACTTACCATATACATCTTGTGAAATCAACACCTGGAAAGTTTGTATCTGCATGTGGAGAAATATCTTATTGATCAGTGAAAATTTAAATGTAGTCAATTGTATACAATTTCAGCTGTTTATGGATTGAGGAGAAGAAAAAAAAAAAGACAAGAATGAGCACACAAAGTAATGTTCTGATTTCGTCTCGGTTTTAGTTTGTATTGCAAATGTTCAATTGTTTTTAGTGCTTTGTGACTGAACAGGCAGAATTCTTGGATTAGAAACCTTTCTTGGTCTGTCATTTATTGCTGCTTGGGGACCCATTCTCAGAATTGACTTTGTGAGCTCATTTCCCAGAATGATTGTGCTGGTAAAATGATGGACAACAGTTTTACTTTAGAACGGCTTGCTTTGATATGGTTGACAACACACTTACTATGAGCATATAAATCAGTCAATAAACCCATTTTCAGTACAAAGTCATCAGTATTAACCTGGAAAAGACAGAAAACAAAGACTTTAACCCAGAATTTTTCTACATGAACATTTACTTTTGCCATGTCATAACAAAAAGTGATATTAACTACAAGTCAGGTTTCCATGTGGTGTAACTTAGTTTTATTTTAATTCCACAAATTTGTCAAAAAAATTACAAAATACTCAAATGGGGAGAACACAGGACTCACAATCTGCCTTAATTATCTCTACTTTTTGTTTACACTGTGTCATCCCATTGCGACTACTAATATATACAATAAGCTTCAAGATACCAGTATATATAAATCTTAGCAGTCAGAATGTACATTCTGCTATTGCCGCTTTGAAACAAGAAGCTAAACCATTGACAACACTCAACATCAAAGGTTTAAGACACAAAAGAGGGACAAAAGGAGAAAATGCTTAAAACAAAAGTAAAATGCTGTATACATCTGAGACAGAATAAAAGATACATGACAGTCCAATTACAGAAAGTGTTCAGCTTTGGGTGTATAGTATACTGCTAAAAACGGGCTTCTATGCTTCAATGGCTTTTTTTAAAAAACAAAAGGGGAGAATTAAAAACAGTACTATGAGCTTTTACTGTACTTTGAACTTTTAGCTCAAAAAAGGCCCATACACAAATCTCACCAGAGGTAAAAACTCATTTTTTAGCATTTGTCATTTTAAATAACGAACGTTAATTCTGACGGATCTGGAAAAGACGAACAAAACGGACAAAAATTCTGCATGTAACAGTCAATGATTGCTATCAAACAGCCTGATCATGATAGAGAGCAACTAAAGAGGCATCATGCATCATAGGTAATGCAGTGTCAGGAATGCAGAGAAGCTCAAGCACAGTCATCATCTCCACTACTGTGAACACATGCACCCACAGGTACACAATCCAAGCTCGATGTCGCCTCCGCCACATACATCTTCCCCCTGGCTTCACAGTGAGAATGGTTTCATGAATTTGTACAGTAGGCCGGGAAACTGACTGTGCGAGTAGCTCGTAAGAGGACTTAAGGAGAGAAACCGGGATTGGGGGGGGCATTGCTATCTTTTCCAGCACCCTTTGACAATGTGTAAAATCTAAAAGTAAAAAAATGTGCATCAAGATGTCATATTGTTACTTAAAAAAAGGTTTAGCAATCTCTAAGCACTGAGGAACTTGCCGAGATATGAACCCAGTTGCAAAACTGAATGTCGCTCAACTTTGGTACACAGAGAACAGAGCGAAACGGCTTTCGAAATGCACTCGCTCACACTTAAGTCACAGGAAAGCCAATTATTGTAATAAAAAAAACAAAAAAACAAAACTGAGGTTAATCAGTGCAATATTCTTCTTTCCAAATGGGCTACTTGCCCCAATACTCACGAGGCGTCGCACCTCCTCCTTCAAGTGTTTTCAACGTCTAACTCGGTCTGAGTTCAGCAATGAAATTAAAAAAATGGTCATGATGTCATGAGTGTTTGTCATACACTGTCATATATGAAACAAATCAAACAAACGAACAAAAATAAAAAGGCGTCATCTGAGCTTTGACCTCTAGAGGTGTTTGGATTAAAATCCGGTACCATTCTACCCAGTAGACCCCGTTTACATGGACCGAACCATCTGACATGGTTACCTGCTCTGACGATGCCATCTCCTTCCCCTCTGAAACAAGGGATGGCACTTCAGAAAATTATTATATCGGAGGTCTAACGCATCTGTTAGGAATCCACACCTAATAATAATTATTATGATAATAGTAATAATTATATATGTATATATATATATATATTTATATACTATTTACAGACTCAAAAAATGCCATGCTGCAGCTTTTCTTAGCATTATGAAAACCTCCTACAATGTATTAAAATAAACATTGAATTTAAGATAGCACTTTTCAGATATAATGGCCCGACTGTTCTGTTCCTCTGTTTTCCCCCCAATTAGCACAGTGACAAAGTATCTGGTTCTCTAGCACCTACAAAAGACGTCAGGGAAGCTTCTCAGAGTATGTTCATGCAGGAAAGTCACAATCAGTCTTGAGGACGCTGTCACTACTTGAACGATATATAACCCCCCGAAAAAGTCAATGTCTTAAAAAAGTCCAGGATAGTGAAGAAAGCTGACAACAGAAAGAAGTTTCCTCAGACGATCCTCATCGCTTCGGCGAACTGAAAACGTTCCTAGAACACGCGAGTTCCCGTGTGTAACTGTTCCGCTGTGACCTCCTGTGTCCTGCTGATACACTGGGAGCCCTCGGCTGATCACAGCTGTTTGTCGCTTTCCTTCTTCAACCGGCTGAAACATAGCGAGAAGAAACATAGTGTGGTTTTATCACGGATGTTTGAAGCACACATGCGTTCTAGAAAAAGGTGTGATTGGGGGACTGACCTGTAATAGTCCTCCTGTCCTGGCAGAGGCCCTCCGTGCATGTGGTGATGACTGTGTAGCCACTGCTGCTCCATGGCCAATCTCTGTAGCTCTGCAGACTGTGCATGCATGGCCTGGAGCTGATGTGCCGCTGACATGGGTGGTGGGAGATCCCTGGGGTATGGAGCGCCTAGGGATCACACAGCAAGATTCGTGAGTTAATGCTTGGACAAAGAGCTGGAAAGATTCAAATGCTGCTTGTTTATGCGTCTTACCGAACATAGGGTGCCGGAGCATCTCGTGTTCATGCGGGGGCTGTCCGAGCAGGGGGTTGGGGATGGCTCCAGGTGGGTAGGGGAATCGGGTGAGGTGCGGTCCGCCGGCCAGTGGGTCTACGAGCGGATGTGCCCCAGAACCTGGGGGACACACAAGACATTCACCACCACCTTCGCCCGTGTCAGAAGCTTTTTGTAATGGTACACAGTCAATATAATACAGAAACACACATATTTAATACTAACAGCACTTATATTCAAAATGAACATCATGCATAAATGACAAGCATAAAATAACAATATTCAATAGCAGGGATGCATGATATATTCAGTATCAAATTGGCCGATATTGGAGATGTTTTTAAAAAGCATAAGCATGAGCTACTGTTACATATTTATTTGCACATGCACTTTCCATTTATTTAGATAAAATATTATATTAAATCAGCCCTTTATAAGTTATCGGTCATAACACAAAAAAAATTATGGGCTTATTGCTATCGGCCAGAATTTAAACATCAGAGATAGCATCATTTCATAGAATCAAGCCATGCCATTTCTACAATTCTAAAGATGGCCCAGATGGAATCTGCAGACATTTTTCACATTTTCTGAACTAGAACATTCGAAATTCTGTTAAATGGATTCAAACCATTATATTCTTGAAGCTGAGAGTACTGCACTCTTAATTTGCAGCCAAACTACATCATACTTCATATAAACACACACAATGGATGTATAGAAGTCTGTGAATGAGATCTGGGCACACAGATTCCATGTGGGCCAACTACAACCATTCAACACACAAGTAGAGTGAAAGGTCTCTCACCTTGGTGCAGAGGGTCCTGTTGGTGCAGGTGCAGGTGTGAATGGATATGCGAGTGCTGATGGTGGTGTGGCGTCACGTTGAACATCTGCAGCCGTGCGATGGGGTCGTTAGCAACAGAAGCCATCCTCTCAACGGCCAGTCGCTCAGGGTAGGTCATCTCAGGCCGTAGCTGAGGCCCGGTCAGCGCCAGCCGTTCCCGCTCCAGTGGATTCAGGCCCGGGTGGAAGGAGGCGAATGGATGATGGCCAGCCATGTGTTGGAGACCAATAGGCCCGTGCCGTGCAAAGTGCTCCATGGGGTTAGCGGAAGGATGCAGGCTGTCCAATTCTGGAGGTTTGACCTCGAAGCCCGGCTTCATCCTCTCCATTCTCATCTCCCTCTCTCGGATCTCCCTCTCCCGCATCTCTCGCTCCCGCAGCTCACGCTCCCGCATGGCGGGGTCTGCGTTGTACAGGCCGGGCATGTGGTAGGCCAGCAGTGGGTCTGCGGGGTTGAGTGAGACGAAGAAAGGATGGTTGCGGTTGGTGGGGGACATGACGTGGGGCCGAGCGTATTCGCTGAGGGTGCGCAGGGCGGGTGTGTCAGGGCCGATATAAGGGGGCACAGTGGCGATGGTGGTGGGTGGTGGATCAAAAGAGGTCCGCATATGAGCTGATCCCGGCATCTGGGGTTCACCCATGCGACCCTCATGAGAAGAACTGGAAGCTTTCTGTAAAGACAGAGCAGATGTTTAGGAGCAAGAAATCGATAATGAAAACTGTTTTGGAGAAATTACCAGATAAAAATAGCATTTAATGCACACACTTTAGACCAAAACTTACAGCAGCTCTCTCAGCCTCTTTCTCTCTCTCCCGTTCTCGTTCTCTTTCTTTTTCTCGTTCTCTCTCCTTTTCTTTTTCTTCTCGTGCTTTCTGCTCTGCTTCCCCCTTGGCTTTCTCCAGCACCTCCTCACGCTTTTTTGCCAGTTTCGACGAGGCCAGTGGTGTGAAGTAGAAGTCTGTTCTGGCACATGTGTTGTAACCTCGGTCCAGATGTTTGTAGAACCTATAAACATGATGGATAGACAAAATAATCAGAATAATCTTTAAAGTTACCACTGTCAGTGTCACTTTGCTGCGTGAAACCTTTCTTCTTTAATGACAGATATAAGCTGTGGAAGAGCAGAAATATTTCCACAGGCTGATTTAGCAGCCAGTTTAAAACAAATACAATTACTTTGTCTCAAATAACCTGTGGGATGTCCTCTCATTTATACTATACTAGAGCTTCTCAATCTTTTTAATGTCTAGTGGCATAATGAGCTGCTCTCTGTGCATTAGTGAGCTTATTGCTATTCACTGCAAGGGAGTGTGAAACATGGCCACAGCCACTCTACAAAGACATGCTCATGTTCTGATGGAGGTTTTCACCGCTATGATGCAGTCATTAATCTGTGCCCTGTCCACGCTTGATGACTGCAGAGGAGCTGAAGCTAAGGCAGGTTTGTTTAGACTGCTACATTGACAGTACTATTTAACATAACTTTTAAAACTTAATGAAATTATATTTGATTACATTTGAATAAATGCAATAAAATGACAAATGATTATAATTGTCATTTGTTTATAACATAAATATCAATTAATATACCATTTCATAAATAAAATTGTATTATCTACTAATATAAAAATACTATTTCAAACCATTCAAACAAATTTAATAAAATAAAAATGTAGTAAACGTTAGCGTTTTGGTAATATTCTTTTAGTATGTTTGATCATTTTTGAATATAATATAAATATGAATTAATGTTTTATTGTAGTTATTACTGATTTAGTAATTGTCAGAAAGTAAAAAAATAAAATAAATATATATCTATATATATAATATTAATTCTGCACATTAGCACTTAAAGACAATTCTATCGATCATGAAAAAATAAATGATGTACCGTGCAGACTGGCTGGCGTGACTGGGAGTGTTGACAATAGTGGGTGGAGGTGAAGGGCTCCTCTGTGGTGGTGGAGGACTCTCTGGCTCCTCAGCTTCATCCAGTGGCTCTTCTTTGATCTGTACAGGTGGCACAGTGGAGGGTCCTGGGCAGGGCGCACTGACCGATGCAGGCAGGGGCATGGATATGGAGGAGGGTGGCTGCTGCAGCATAGTCATTGAGCTCGCCACAGAGGAAGAGACGGCGGAGGGTGACAGGACGGGCGAGTTGCCGGGCATGAAGGAATGAGGAGGGAAGGGTGGCTGGGAAGGCGCCGAGTGTGAGGCAGAGGAAGAGGAAGGGAGCGGAGGAGCCGGCGGGGGCGCTTGACTTCCTGTTGCCGGAAGGTTTTGGGACTGGGTGAGCACTGGAGGTTGCACTGGTGGAGGCTGTAGCTGCTGGTTTTGAGGCATGAGCTGAAGGGGAGGCGGATGGGCAGAGGGAGGGTGGTGCGTGGATAGAGAGCTGAGGGGCTTCAAGGCAGGTGGTGGGGGCAGGTTGGAAGGCATCTGTGGGAATGGGGGGTGGCTGGGATGCTTGTGTGACTGAGGGTTTGGCATTTGTGGGATAGGGGTGGTAGGCGGAGGTTTGATGTGGGGCATAGGCAATGGTGCTGATGGCAAAGGCTGCTCTCTGGGAGGCTGGCTGCCGCTCTGTGAGGAGGATTGCGATTGGGATGGAGGGGTGTGAGGTCGCTGTTGTTGAGACAGGGAGGCAGCTTGGGATTGACCTGGGAGTGGTGAAGGGAGGACCTGAGACTGACCGATTGGGAAGGACTGAGCAGGTATAGCATGAGGGTGAGGCATGTGTGACGGCCCCGCCTGCAGAGGGTGGCCCATGGGCGGCATGGGGCAATGTAGTGGAGGCTGCAGGGACTGAGGGCCGGTCTGAGTAGGTGGAGGAGGCTGGGTTATGCCCTGCAGTGGGGAATGGGGTGAGGGCAGCCTCTGCACCCCTGACTGGATGAGAGACAGCGGACCTGCTGGAGGTGTCTGCTGAGGAGGCATGGAGGTAGGGGGGATGGAGGGGGATGACTGGGATGACAGCGAAGGTGTGCCTGTGGAGGGTGGTGTGGAGGCTGCAGCTGTGGAAGGAGGGGCCGGGGGTAAAGCCCCCGTCTGGCACTGGATGACTGGAGGGTGCTGACCCTGGAGGATCTGTTGCTGCGCTGAGGAGTCCGAGTCGCTCTCGTTGTCACGTGGGCTGGGGATGCTGGGTGAGGAGCTGCGGTTGTCCTGGTCAATATCCTTGGGATCACTGCTGCCCTCATCATTCACGCTGCGACCGTCCGAGCTCTCGCCCTCACCCTCTCCCTCACATTCCGAGGGCGAGTCCGGCCGGAGTTCCTGCAGAAGAAGGAAGGAGGGGTCAATAAACTTGGCCATACCGACATTTGCTGATGACCGAATAATGGGTGCAGTCACGATCAAGAACAAATAACCTTTGCATTTCAGTCATTGTGATATAATGTGAACTAATGACATTTAAAGGATATGAAATCACTCTAACATGCAATCATATTGTAACCATGGGTAACAGCAAAAAATACAACAGTAAATCCAGCGTCTTCGTTGGACTGAGTCAAATAGAGCTGCCACGAACCCTTCAGTGAACTTTAGTTTATTAATGTCTTTTGGATTATTTGGAGAGCTTTTCTTCCAAGTAAACCTCTAGTTGGTCATTTTTCTCCTAAACACATCACACATTTCCATGCTAACAATAATATAGCCACATTATCACATATCTTTAGCAGTAATCATCAAACTGCCATCTTTAATGCAGCAGCATGGATTTCAGAACTATACATTGTTATGAAGGGCAGGTTAAAAGAAAGCAAATCTAAGCCATTTCTGAGTTATATTTCCTATTCTTTTTGAGATGTATACAAAATACTTTTCCTGCTTGTTTACTAGGACTTCACTTACCTGCATTTTAGACTAGACTATAAAAATGTAAATAACATAAATACTTTAAATATTTTATAACATTTTTTTTTTAATGAAGATATTTCTAAAACTAAATTTTCTACAGACTAAAAATGTGGAAACTACTAATGATGTATTGAAATGCTTGTTTAGTAGGAATTCACTCACCTGCGTTTTAGACTTCTTGGCGCTTGCCCTCTCAGACTCTTCTGTGTCAGAGGCTCCTTTTTCTCTCTGACGTTTGGCACTCTTCAAAGGCGATGGCACCTCTTCCTTTGTCTTCTGTTTTGACAAAATGAAAACATGTTTCCTCTGAAAACAAATTCCTGTGATGCTCAGTGTGATTTCAATGAACAGTCTGTGCACATGGGTCTTACCTTGCTGGGTTTCTTCATCGAGTCAGTCTTGCTGTCAGTGCTGGAGGTGCTGGCTGCACTGGGTGAGGTACGCCCGCTGGAACGCAGATCCTCATTGGTTGGTGAGGCTCTGCCATCTGGGCTGGCGGTTTGCTTCTTGCGGCCACTTCGTAGCGTTGACATCTGAACAGAGAAAAAAAAAAGATGTCACAAATGCTGCTTAAACACATTATATGTAGTTAAAATGGCGCTAAATGGTAGCCAAGTTAGGTGTCTTACTGAGCCGCGGTTCCGTCGAGTCCTCATGCTATGCTTCCCACTGAGTCCATCTTCTTCCTCTTTGACAGGTTTGAACATAAACGGTGGTGGGTCTACAGGCTTCTCAATGGGGGGTAGTTCGCCGTACTTCTTAAAATGGATCCGGCAGTCGGTGCACAGCAGGATGTTCTCGCGACCCCCGTGGTGCCAGTCCTTGGAGGCTGTAAACACAAATTTCAGTTCAGCTGAGCTCTGCTTATTAAACATTACACTAACAGGAAATGCTCTAAGGCTAGCCAAACACTTCATAGACATGCTAAGGTCAAATAAGATGTTTACGTATCAGACTTCAATGCGATATGAATGCAAACTGCATCAACAGGTCAGAGCACTTAATGAGACAAACAAATGAGTAACTGTCAGATTGGATAAAATTAGAAATGACACGCTCTGATGTCCATCTGCCAGATGAGGTACGGGGCCGAGCATCAGCGGACTCTCAAACTGAGAGTAATTACAGGCTTGCAGAGGGGATTATTATAGTCCCCTGAAGAGTCACCTGTCTCATGGTATCACTATATTAGGTTAATACCTCCAACACTTCACCTTGGGAAAAATTGAAGGACTGAGGAAAAAACAAAAATCATTGTTTGTTGTGTCACACTATTTGGTCACTCGGCAAATCAGAAAGAATATGGGCAAAATTATACAACAATTAGTGCCAGGCCTCTAATTTGATTGGACAAGCAGCGTTCCCAGTACCAAACTTAATATTCATGGCATGAACTCAAAATAAATAATGACAAACGTTAAATAAACTTTGTGACAAAAGATAAATAAACAATAAATACACATTTAAATACAAATACAATAATTCTGATAAAGATATTTAAGTGTCTAAATGTAAATTATTGAATGACTACTTGTTTACTGAACTGTTAAATTAAAGCAGCAGCACACTCACAGTCATTCTGCTGGTCTGAATATCAGCAAGGTGTGTGATATTGCTTAATTTGATAAAAACTACATAAATAAATGTATAAATATAAAAACATTTTTTATCCTTTCTAAAATGCAAGTCACAGTAACTTATTGAGCTGCTGCATAAAAACTTCATCACACTCACAGTCATGCTGTTGGTCTAAATATCAGCATGATATTATATGATATGATATTTAATTTGGTGATAAATTTTGCACTCACTGGTAGAGAAACAGTGGCGGCAGGCGTAGCCCTTCAGTTCCTGTTCGCTGTCTTCACTGTCAAAGTCATCTTCGCTGGCTGAACTCAAGTCCACTGGAAAATAGAAAGATAGGATGATAAAGATAAGAGACTGTAGTTGTCAAATGATGTTTAAGACAAAACAGAGGCCTGTTACACTTAATACATTATCAGTGGCTTTTTTTCTGGAGAAAAGGATAGTACACATAATTAGAGCGATAAACCTCCCTGTTCCGTCTCTTATCGGATATGAGATTTCAGCTGTTTACTTTGAAGAATCACAGAGGGGGATCTGTGCTCTGAAAAGCCATATTAGTCTTGGAAGATCAGGGATGTCATGTTTAGCTGTGACAAGAGTCTGTTCTCTGTCTCTAGGAGGAAGAGAGGTAGATTGCACTTACAGAACTCGCTGGAAGGTGGGCGGGAGGGAGTGTTGACGGGAGTGGAGGCGGTGCGGGTCTTGATTCGGCGGAAGACGGGTTGTCTGCGGTGCCTGCGGTGGGCTCTGCAACTGGCAGCCTCTGGGGTTTTCTTCCAATAATAGTAAAAGGTGATCAGCTCCCCCTGTGAGATGGCAAACACAAAAACAATCTCATGAGCCAGCAGTTAACCATTTATGCAGTCTTACTGTATAAAATTGAACAAAGAAACTACAAATACTACACAAAAATATTGTTGATCTGTTGGATGTGACGTGAATATGGCTTGATAAGCGAAAGAATAGGCCACAGGCAGCTGCAATGAAAAACTTCAGGAGTTGGTTGATAAAACCATTTTAGTTTTGATAGTACAAAGAAAGGAAGGGAGAAGATAGTATAGAGTCCTGGACAAAGAATCCATGCCAGGTTTGTCAGCAGACCGGCTTGTTGTGCTGTGGCCGTGTCTGTCCCAGGATTAGGCAGTGAAGCTCTCTGAATGCTGGGATATTAGGATCAGTACATTGGTGGCTGCCTGGGTGGCAGGCGTTTGAATGGAAACAAAGGAACATGTCAGGGAGAGCTTTGGCGCTACAAATAGGGAGTAAAATGGCTCCAAGCCCCTGCACTAGAAGAGTCAATTGAACTTTAATCAAACATTCAGAGGGCGCGCTTGCCAGGGAGTAAGGCATATAAATCCCGAGCACAAAAGCCAGCCAGGAAATCAATACCCTACTGAAACATTAACACATGCAATCATGGATCAGAAGACGCTTTTGCTTAGGCAGCCTGCACAAATTAACTGCAGTTTTCCGGACACATTCAAAATAATACACATGCCCTAAAACCGTTGTCTGGTGGAAAAGCAATTACGAATTTTTCCTCTGGTAGTTGCTCATTTCTCTCTTGTACCTTTCGGTTTCTTCCCAATTGAATAATTTGGCTGATTCTGGATATTCATTTCAAGACATTGCATTGGAGTGGCTTGCATGTCAACGGCTGAGCTTTTATCATGCTTTAATGTGTTAATGTTGCAGGAATGAGTGAAGAGGACAGACACGGGGTCTGACAGGGTCTGTTAAACTCAGGCTGAATAGGGCTTGGGTGTCTTTAATGCGTATTGATTGCTTTCCCTCTTTGCTTCGGCTGTTCTTCTTGACATAAATTGGTCATTAAAATGCTGCTCTCCCCAACACATTAACAGCTTTACGGCAAACACTTCAAACTATTCTTGGCAGCAAGTGGAAAAACATGTACTTTGAATCCTAGACTATTCATAGGCTATTTTATTGCTTGAGTGAAATTTACTGAACCATATAGATTTGCTTCGCATGCCTGCACTTGAGCATATGAATTACATTTACATAAATCACAAAAAAGCTGCAGTCTGATGAAAAGGCTATAAAACTGAGGCTAGCTCAACCAAAGCTACCATGTCTGACATGGGCAAACACACAAGATAAGCCTCATACTTACATCTTCTTATATAACATGTTCCCCTCAAAAAAAAAGAAATCAAAGTACAGCATAAACACCAAAACAATGGTGTGATCGGAATAAGCCATTGAGTAGAACATGAAAAATGCACAAACCACAGTTGAAGGACTGAAAAAAAAGCACATTGAGCAGTAGAGAAGTTCTCAAAACGTTTCCCCATGCATCAAACTCATCAAGAGTAGCCCATCTTTGAGTGGTCCGATGGACACACGCAAGAGGAATACATCAATTCCTTGAGGGTGGTATAAATGCTTGCCAAATGAGAAACACAAGGCTGACAAGCTCAACTTAAAGTATCCAAGCCCAGCTCCTGTGGGTTATTTATCCGATATGATGAGTGGAACGTGCAATGGCCAAAGGCCCGGGCCCGCTTCTGAGAGCAAAAGGCATTTGGCGGGGTCGGTCAGGGCGCAGGTGCAGGCCAAAGGATGGCAGGCTTCCTGATGTGAAATTTAATTGAAATGTGCAGATCAAAACTGTTCAGCAGGACAGCGGGCAGGCTTTCTTCACAGCCTAATGACTGTTCAGCACCGCATCCCCCTCCCCTTCCTCATGGTTGCCCCTTACTTTTTATTTTCCCTCCCTCTATTTGATGTGAGCTTTGAAGCATGAAACCTCAACTTAATGCTACAGAAGATAAAAAGAAAAGGTCATTTTAGCCCTCAACAATTTTGCCAGAGCTCTTTATAGCTCTTAAACATCCTAGAGGAAGGCAGACGAAAAAAAATGCGCTCTGGTTCAGAGTAATAACACTGTGAAAGGAATCACTGTGGTCATTCAAAAGTAATTTAGTCCATAGGCTATCAAGACAGGTGTCAAGGTTGAGAAAGAGCCGACAACCACGGGCGAAGATAACGCAGCGATGTTTAATGCAATCTACTGAAGCAATATGTAGAGGAGTAGGGGAACGAGGATGAAACGAGTGATGAAATGTTTTGAGAGGATCATCTGTGATGATGACAAATTTCCTTGGGTGATAACTGTACGATGGAGAGCTATAGAAAAATCCCCTTTCAAGCTGGAGGAGAGGCGATGGAAGAGGAAATATGATTTCATTTGAAGCATGGAGGGGCTGTGCCAAGTCACAGGCGCTGGGTTTGTCTCTCATCCCTCACTCGTTTCAGCGCTGCCCATTATTTCTGACAAAATGTTGCTGGATTGTTCGCCATACAGAAGAAAAAAAAAGCTATATTTTTTAAGGTGCAGCACAAAAAACATAGGACAGACAAAGAAGCTATTTAGTATTTTATATAGGGAGATGTCCTACTGTGAAGCAAAATAAAAGATGACATCTGGGGGAGGAAATGTCTCCTGTGAGTTTCAGTTTGTAGTGAAGGTCTGTGAAGCTGGATGCACATAGTGAGTTAGTGTCAAGTGCTAAGACTGACAGCTTGAATACCAAAGCCAGGACTTGTGTCAAGGTAGGTTTGTTGGAGACAAAAGTGAGATTTCTCTCTGCTATCTGTAGTGAGCATCAAAATGTAAAATTTAAGCTTTTTTTTGTTTTATTTATACACTAATGTGCAAAATATTATGGCAAGGCAAAAAAAGAAACCACCACTAATAATATTTTTAAAAGACATGGCTCAACCATAAATAAAAAATTAAATTATCATGCTGTTCCACACCTGTGTAACAAAATATGTGAAAAAATATATATTTCCTCCCCCACTCTTAAATTTGAAGTCAACGTCATTGTTTTGCAAAAAAAATGGTTGAAACATTCTTTAAAATATCACACTAATTTGTTTAAATGCAATGGTGATTAAATGAAAACTATTTTCATTTTGGGTGAACTCTCTCTTTAAGGGTGTGTAACATTTTTAAAATGATTTGAGGTACACATAGCAAAAATCCTTAAACTAAAAGATAAACATTTTCCTGAATAGCTATTACTGTATGTTGAATTTCCTCCATTAGCCCTGAATCTTTAAGAAGAGGAGAAGAGTGTGCGCCAGGGAGCGGGAGATACTGACAACGTAAGCTTGGAATTATGGAGACATTTCAGAATGCTTCCATCTGCAGAATTTTTCTGGAGGGTGGATTATCTGACAAGGAAGGGGCTTACCTCCTATCACAGCACAGAGAAATGCTTTTTCCACTCTGATTTCACCTCGAGAAAACCACTGATGTGGGAGCATGCAAGCACAGACTGTAATTTCCAACAGATTACACTTTTTTTAATTGCAGCGGACCATTCGGGATAAACCATAGCTGGGCCTTCTGGTCATGTGTGCGTCTGTGTGTAGGACGGGTGTGAGGCCTAAACTCCTGTATTTATACACTCATCCGCACTCAGGCCTGGACTTGAACAGATGGTTTCTGTTTTTCCTGGCAGATTTGTGACGAAGCCACAAAAGGCCCCTGCTTTGACAGTGAGCCAAACGGTTAAGGCTGTAGCTGACAAATACAGGGGAAGGAGAGCAGCAGAGAATGCAAGGGAGGGCAGCGAGAGGGGAGAGAAAATGGAAGATGGCTACAGACAAATCAAGCCCGCCTGAAAAAAACCTCAAGAGCATTTGCTTGGTTAAACAATACAAAAAATTGGATACGAGAACATTTGGTCACTAGGTACAGACAGGGAATGTGCAGCTGTAAACATTAATTAGTTGAGTTGGCCCGTGTGCTTTCTGGTTCTCGCATGGAACCGACTGTGCCCAAGTACATGCGGGAGGGTGAGACATGCAGAGGTAAAGACAAATTCAATCCACCGTCACAAAAAAAGAAAGCGAAAAGATGTTTGACTTATGGCACTGCACTTTATAGCCTTTAAAATCTGGATACTTACAATATTGTCTTCAACAATTGTATACAGTACAATATACTTTTTTGTAATTTAAAAAAACCTATAGCAAAAATAAAATTCATTAATAAAATTGTACCACAAATAAAGAATTTAAATTAAGCTATTAAAAAAATTATACACATAGAGATGTATTAAATATACATATATTTAGTACATTGCAACTAATTAATATAAATTTGAATTTCAAAATTAAAACACACACACACTCTCTCTCTATATATTTATATTCAATATTTAATCATAAATAAATTGTAAACAAGTATTTCATAAAATGGATGAGACAAAATACGTGCATTATCGCACTAATTTTTTTTGTTAAAAAAAGTTACTACAGAGTATATTTACTGTAACCACTAAGACTTCATTTGATCGCTTGGCATTTTTTTTAATGCCACCAATTTTTACTCACACACCAGGCACTCCACATTGAGGGTCAAAATAAATGCAGCTGAAATACTGTCTGAGAAGAGCCCTGAAAAATCACATTGAGAGGAGATGTCTATTACTGTAACCTTGCTCCAAAGTCAACAAAGCAATGTAGCACACCACAAAAACAGGCTCCACTCAAACACCATTGCCCAACCTTTTGGTTAAATCTGGCAAAATTTGAGAGGAAAAAAAAAGTGCACTACAATGGCCTTGGCTGATAGAGCAGGGTATAAAAGGATATTAAATGGACAGCGAATCCCTGCTGCGCTGTCGCTTTCTGATGGAAAAGAAATAAGCCGTGTGCGCGTGCAGGTCAACGAGTCACAAGCAGAGGAATCAGCAGTTGTGTTTCCCTGCTTTAAGCGCTTTCAGCCAATGGAGGCAAAAGTACGCCACAGCAAGACTTTTTGATCGGGGTCGATCTCTTTAATCCAAAAGATCAAGTTGCACAGCCACAGCTTTGTTCAGAAAGCCAGACAACAAACAACACACACGGCTATGCATGCTCACTTTTCATACACACTAAACAGAAATAATTATAATTTAATTGTATAGCCTATCTGGAGGAAGTCTAACCCATAAAAAATGGCCAAGTACACGAAGATCAAAAATATTTCCAAATATTTACCAAAACAAGCAGACAATTTTATCACGACTGGACAGCTGCTGGCGATCGAGCAGGCCGCCAGTTTTAGCCATTTTAATTAGTGCCCAACCCTCAATACCTCTAATCACACAAGCGCCTCTCTAGGGCACTGGCTGCAGGGCTAACATCTTTGCAAAGAATTCAATTTGACATTTATACAGATCGCACCAGGGCAAACATCTGCTACAAGGTTGTAGCGAGAACAGTTCTATAATCTTGGCCAAAATTACAGGGCCCGAGGGCCAGGGCTGCCTCCTTACACAATTGGATCTTCTGCAACGCCAGCAATGCAGCTGGATTACACCATGGCTGCTTTACGATATGGCTGTTTTTCCAACATGATGGAAAATAACCCTTAAACATCTCGGCCCACATTACAGAGTCTCCATTGTGCAACCTAATGTTCTTTCTTCCTGCAGGTGCAATTTAATCAAGCTTTGGAGTGTTACCAGTTAGTCTGCACCCTCCTTAAACAAGTGTCCACCTAGCATTAAAAAGCCAGGGGCAGATTTCCAAAAGGTTAAAGCGCACAGACTGTTGTCTCAAAGTGCAGCAATCATACCAAAATTTCAGATTTACCAGGGACAGACCAATGTGCCCTTTAAAATGAGAAGCATCTGCAAATCTTCCAAAAAAAACCTACAGAAAAATATTAATAATTTCTTAAATTCAAATCAAAAAGTCAGTATATAATAAACTGTCAAATACGAATAAATAAATAAAGGAACACTTTTGGCCATTTAAAGTGCATTAAAAATAATCCTAAAACAATCTGCAATAGTTTATTTCGAATTAGATAATTTGCAGTCTATCAGAAAAAAATCTTTCTGGGACAGCACACGGGCAGATCTGTGATCTGTAGACGCATCACATCATGCCGGGTTTGTTTGGGAACATTTCTTACACCAGAACACAAATAATTCCATGACGTTGTCTTTCAAGTGGAGGAAATGGTGGCAGCGAAAAGAGCAGAGACAGTAAGACGACACACCCACTTCCCCAACTTCCTCTTTTATTTGACTTCATATAAAAGCATTCCAAAGAGCTAGTCAGGCCTGGTGTGTTTGCACAGCAGTGGGTGCTTAGCCTTGGCACCGGCTCTTTATGACAAACCCAGCTCATAAGTGCTGAGGGGGGAAAATGAGGAGAGGCAGAAAAGCTGCACTGTATCACCCTCTACGGCCCTGGGCATTGAAAAACACTACGGTCATATCAAATCCTGGACCAGTTGACCTGGAAGAAATTCACAGGAAAGATTCTTCAGCAGAAAGCCTGGCATTTGAGCAGCAGGAAAGGTTTTCATCTTGGATGGATGAAGTTTCAGAATTCGCCACAAAAAAGAAAGATTTGGGAAAAGAAATGGGAGAGAGGGAGAAAGACTGTAGAGAAAATAAATCAAGCTTTCCGCGGGGTATTGACTGGCACTTACACAGAGCTGGCTTTAAGCACAAAAGCAACTTCAATCTTAAGCAAAGTGGCGCTTTTTAGAGAACACTCGCTGTTCATAGTGTACATTAAACTAACCCCTCAACCCTGCTCTTCAGCAAGACTGTTGTGCCTCCATGTCTTCTTTTTCCATTATCCTTTCTTCTTGTCCTGGTTTTAAGAGGCTGGCTTGTTTATGTATGCATGTGCATAAAAATAAATGGAACAAATGTCTCCATTCGAATGGGAATTGATATTAATTCAATATAAAATAAAATAATTTTATAATTTTCAAGTCCTGTCAGAGATTACAGCTTTATAAAAAAATAAATAAAATTGGCATCTTCTGAATACTGTCATAAAAGAAAATAAAGAAATAAGCAAACTATTCTAGTATATGATATTAAGATGTTAATTCGCAGAATTACAGGATTGTTAAAGCCTTCAAGTATTCTTTCCTTGTTTAAGGTCAATGTAAAAATCAACGATTTCAGCACAAAAGTGCACTGCTCCACTCGCTAAATGGGTATTTGGGAGTGTACACATACGGAGTTATTTACACTGTATTTAATTTAGTTCTTTCATCTACAGGGTCATACTTTTAACTAATTAAAATGGGCTCATTTAAAATACGTATTTACAGCCAGAGGAATACATGTTGTTCAGCATGAAGAGCAATACTATCAATAAATGTTGTACTTTAAGGGTGACAGGCCTTAACACAGCTTCCCTCATGCTAGCAGGGATCCTCTTTATTGACTAATCATTGAGCTAAGTCAATATCCCATAAAACATGCACTTGATAACCAGCCTATTAGCCAGAGATTGTGTTTTAGTCTATCTGACATGACACTGAGGCCAGTAAAGCCAACAGCTGACCTGATAAAACATGTTTGGCACAAACACAATTCATACTGTACTTAAGTATGCGATAAGAATGTTAAAGAAGTGTTCAACTTTTATCAACCCTAAAAAACACAAAATATATATTTTTATAAATCAACATTTATATAATATAAGTTTATTAGTCATTTATAAGTTTAAAGTAATTTATATAGTTTAAAGTCTATATAAGTTTAAAGTCATTTATATACGTTTTTAATGTTAAACAGTTAATGAAAAACAATCTAGATATCTTCTTAATATGTTCATGTCAACAAGCTCATGTCATGTTGATCTAAATAGGAATCTTAAACTTTACTCATGCATCAGCTATGACCTGAATACATTTTAATGAAAACAACAAAACCTTAATCTGCTATAAATACTGTGAAATGCAAAGTAACATGCATTTAAAATTAATTTCACCAATTATTTTTTTTTACATATTACATTACAATAAAATCACATATTTCTGCATTTATTACTTGCAATATGCATAAAAAACATGTTTAACAAATAATGCTTTACGCTTAAAATAAGTTTGAAGCTGTACAGAGCTGTAACTAAACGTTATATAAACAGTCATGTTTCTGTTTTGACTAAACACATGTCTCTGGGCCCCTGTACAAGCACCTAACATGCACTGTTAAATCTAATAAGTCCATGTGTAAACTATGGTATTCAATCATTTTCTCAACCACTAAGACATAGCCTTTATTTCAAAACATGAAAAACCACAGTGAAAAGGAGTTAACTTGTTTTTGTGTCCAAAGATGACAAATGTTTTTTTTTTCAATAGGAAAAAAAATTACTTACCGTCTCCTTGTTAGGGAGCAATTCTTTCCGAATCCTAAAAAAGTTCTTCCCGTACTGCCTTAAACCCTTTATGAACCGTTTCTGTTGAAAAAAGAAATGAGAAAAACATTTAAAATTAGATTCTTAAAGCACCCGTAACAATTGACATGAAGCACTACTAATACATTACATTGTGAACCGCAAGGGGAAGAAAACAATGTTGTGATCTTAATCTGAAAATCTCTGCTTGTGCTAGCACAGCTTTGCTATAGTGAAAAAAAATGAAGGGAAATGACAACAAAAGCAGGAATAGAAGCTGAGATTAAACCACAGTGGAGTAGAAACGCAATGGCAGTTCGAAATCTTAGTGAAAGTTCAGCAAGGTGATATGCATATGAGGGTCGCACAACACTGAAGTTCAAAGCTGAAACTGAACTTCAATAAGTTGCGACGAATCACAACACACTTCTCTCTGATCTTACAATTTGCACGCTCGCACTTCAAACAGCTGCCTGAGTCCTGCGCAAAGTACTAGAATTACAAACCCTTTTGCTTATAGTTACTGCAAACAAACAGAACTTAAAATAATCACGTTTGTGAATGTGAAAAATGGCTGAAGCTTTAAACAAGTACAGTAATCAAGTAAAACATTCACTTAAAAAAAGAGAACAACTTTTACAACAAAACCAAAGAGTAACTTCAAAAATAAAACAAATAAAATAAGACCTCTGTAACATAAAAGTAGAATTGGTGCCTTGAATGCTTTTCTATTCCTTTAAGAGCCACAGACTGTGAGAGCCATAAAAAAGCAGAGGCAGAAACATTCATAACCAGCGAAGCAGACAACCAGCAGATTTACTTTCTTGTTCCAGCGGCGAGCCCCGCTCCACAGTAATCTCAGTCAACGGTCCTCAACAAACAAACTGTTCGGAAAGCCTGGGAAAAGTCCACTCGGCACACGACCCAAATCTCTACGTCCACTCAAAAGCAGTAAAAAAAATTGAGGTGCAAATCCAGAGTCTCCGAAGGTACGTCGTTTTTTTTTTACGAGCAAGAGATAGCTTGTCACTCTCTGCTCCTCCACTACAAAGGGGAAGGCTTTACATGTGATCTTTCTGCTAGAGAGCCTCTGGTCTGCGGCTGGCTGGAAAACCTGGAGCGGAGTCATGCGATGCATGGTGGATTGAGCAGTTGTGTCACACATGCGTTTTCGGCGAGCTTTAAGTGTGTGTGCGTATGTACATCACCTCTACGTCTGCGCTTCTCATTACTCAAACTCCAACCCCCTTATGGTGGCTTTTACAAGGGAACCATACGGTATAACAAAGCACAAACTAGTGAGAAAAATCTTTGTAGAGGTTTTAGACGTGGTTAAATGATGCAAGTCGTTTGCAAAACCAGTCGTGGATTTCCTCTGGCATTCTCAGCCAACTTATCAAATGCATACTAGTTATGTAACCAGGAACTGTTTACACATGGCGTTTAAAAGAACAATTTGCAGTGAGAAGAGAGGGAGTATTACTTCTTTCTCTCTTTCAAAGCTCTGAAAACATGCAATAAATTAGATGTCTGAGTTTAATGAAATTCCCAATCCTGCAAATTAAAACTAGATATAGCCTCGTCAGGGCAACCATAACGGGTCGAGATACGCAAGCATTAGAAACAAAATTACTACAGACGACACTTTTCATCTGGTGTGGTAAAGAGGCGGATGATTAACCAGCAGGTGGTGCAATGTGCAAAACGAGCGTGCGATGATCTTTAAATGCCCCTACGACTAAAGTACTAGTTATGAGTTAGGGCATGTCAGACTATCCAAGTATCAAGTTATTTTACTCGATGTTTTAAAGGGCTTAACATTGAGGGATGCAAAATAACAGGACCAGGGCAAGAAAAGGAGTTAAGTAGATAAATTAGACTCAAAAACTACAGTCTATGTTTATCGAGTTATGTTTACACCCTGGTGACCCAGACTAGGACCAGCATTTGGCACTGGGACCACTTATTCACAACTATTTTAATCTCACACTGATGAGTATCTAACAGTCTCATGTGTTAATCAATCCCCAGCCTAGCGACTACAGGTCTAAGGTGTGAACACGTTCATTTTGTTGAACACATTAAAGGGATCCGAGCGCACCTTCATTATCCGAGGTCCCGGATCCTGACCGGCAGGACAAAAATCAATTACACCTGCCAGAGCGGCACATGTTAGCAGCCTGATTATGTCACCTTAATTATGTTTCCACTACTGTAATATTTACAGTGCGCTGCAGGCAGGAGTCTACGTGCACGGCTGTCTCGTTCGCTGCGTGTCGGCTCCACTTTAAGGCTCCATTTCAGCTGCCTGGGCTCGCTGCACTCTGAGCGCAACTAATAAATCATCCACCAATCTGCTCCCTGAATTGCTCTGCCTCTGCTACGATTGCTCCGGCCCGCCGTTGCTAGGCAACAGGGCAGATAACGGGAGGGGCTGGAGAGCGAGGGGAGAGTGGAGGAGGGGTGAGAGGGGGAGGCGAGCGCTACCGAGTCACCAGCAGCCCGCTCTGTTGAAACAACAGGCTTCTTTCTGTCAAAAATGTTTCCAGTGCGCTGGCTCTGCTTTCTGCCTCTCTCTCTTTCGGCTCGACAGTGCTCTATTGTAAAAGAGAGCGGTGAGAAGGGAATACAACTGAAAAGGCTATTGTGATGCGTGCGCACTTCCTGCCTAAATCATAATTGTTAAAAGCTGCAAAACTGGTTAAGATCATTCAAGCATGTACAAACAGATGGTGTCAGAACACTCCATACAAAACACACTAGTGGGTCCAACACACACAGAAACACACACGCACTCTTCAAATACCAAGAATGCCTAACATTTAGCTCTATTGCACAAACACACGAGGGTCTTATGAAACCAGTGTGCTTGGCCTTTCGCTGAGGATGACCTGGTATGGGCGAATGAGCAGAGTATACAATTACAGTCACAGATAGCACAACACACAAATATGACTTGACATGACAGCAATGATGATGGCACTTTCAAACACAAAGCAACCACAAAGAGGGATGAGAGCAAGCCCACATCCTGTCCATTTCGAACCTCACATAACATCAAAGCCACAACAGAAAAGAAGAGAGACATGGGGGAAAACTAATATAGGCCCAGCCGTAGTACCAGTCCTATTAATATGAGCTTCTAAATCAGGCCGCCGCTCCCGCCACTTAAGCATTTGCTTAGCGCTTGAGTCTATAAATATGCATAGATTTAGCTTAACCGCAGCTTTTCTTGTGTACTGTGTAAAACCAAAGGTGACAGGAAATTCTCTAACACACCCTTCCTGCCTGCGCAAGTCTCATGGCAATAAAACGGTCTTTAAATCTGAGCGCTAGCAACTCCACTTCACACATAAAGTCCAATGACAGAGAAAATATCTCCAACCATCTCAGTGGTTGTCGACTAGTTGGTCTCAAGTCCGTTTATATTTGTAGTATTATTTGAATTATATAACAAATTGTAATATGTTATACATATTTGCATATAGTGCTTCACTGAATTTTGATCTGTGTTTAGTCTAAAAACATGTTATCATGCAATCAGTTTTCATTATACTATAGTATTTTATTCCGTATAACATTATTCATAGAAGTACATTTTAAAGCTGGACATTCTAAGGACATTTTTTGTTCACGTTTGTGTCGTGTCATCACTTGATGTCCCATGTAAATATTCTGGGTCCTGAAGCAAAACCAGTTTAAAACCACTGAACTAAACAAACATGCAACATTGCATGCGGGTGGCCCGCTGGAAAAAGTCATGATCTGCTGTCCTGGGGGTATTATTCCCTTCTCCAAAGACTGAACTTCCTTTATTACTGTGCACTGAGATTAATATTAAGGAGGGGGAGGAGGAAGGTGTTTATTTTTTTGGGAGAAATTGTGCAGGCTTCTTGGATCACCACTGGGGGGCTATAATGTTACCAGGTTGCCCACTGCTGCACAGAGCATTTCAACTATCTGGAGCTTGACGCTGTCATTTGTCAACTTGTGACAAGCTAAAGATAATACACAGCAGGGCAGAGCAGCAGATAGCAGTCCTCACTGTGGGGTTATATGTCAGACACCCTGAAACAGCACTCAGTGCTCTTTTTCTGGCTGTTTTAAAACACAGTGAGCTGCATTTTTGGGCATCAAAGGCACACATTTAAGCTCAGCCTCTCTTAAAGGGATAGTTCACTCAAAAATTCAATTTATTCACCTTAATGTAATTCCAAACCTGTATGACTTTTTGTTCTTTGGAACGACTTGAGGTAAAGATTACGATGATGAGGTTATGACCGAATGTGTGAACTATCTACCCGCTGTTACCATTCTAAAGTTTTAGGTCAGTATTATTTTGTAAACATTTTTAAATCTCTGTTGTCACTAATGTTTTTAGTCTCATGTTTAACAAATGCTGCACTATTTTCCGATAAAATAGTAGAAACTTAGCTTGGATGGCAGCCGAACTTAGCCCGTCCACAACATTTGAGCATGGAAAGTTCGGTCTGGACTTGATCTGTTGAGAAGCAAGTATGCCCGAAAATTGTCAGGGCGGGCTTTACGCGATGATGTACAGATGATCAACAGTAACGTAATCATCCATATCACCAAAGAGCGCTTGGGTCGAATTCGTTTACAACAAAGAATGGCTGCCACTGGAGAATTTAGATGTGTAGAGTCAGCCATAGCATCTGTTATAGAAGATCTAGACAGCACATTAATTTTAAAAAAAGGAACAGAAAGCCGCGATCAAGGCATTTTTCGATCGGGAAGATCGGGTTTTTGCCGTCTTTCCTACGGGATTCTGCAAAAGTTTAATTTATCAGCTGGCCCCACTAAGAAGATGGGACGCAATGAAAACCCTGGTGGTCATTGTGGTTTCTCCTTTGGTCGCACTCATAGAGGACCAAGTGAAAGCAGCAACCGAAATGGGCAAATATAGTTTAGACTCATCTTTTTCCCTTGTGCGTATAGTTATGTTGACAACTATGTATGGCTCAACATAAGTCATTTACTCCGTTGCTCTGATCTGGTCTATCCAATTTTGAGTGCAGAGGTATTTTCTTTCCTGGTTCGGTTGAAACGCCCCATAATCACAGCCCAATGGAGCATTATCAGACTCACATTCTTACTAGAATCTCAGCGTGACAACATCAGGCTAGTAAAAACTAGCAATATTGTGAAATATTACTGAAATTTAAAACAGCTCGGTTCTATTCTGGCATATTTTTTATTTTTTGTAATTTAGTGTTTTTATTTATTTTGAAAAAAGCTGACAACATTTTGTACAATAAGAAAGAAAACTTATATGGCTACCAATTCCCCTCTAACCCACCCCACACCCACACCCACCCCATAGCACTTCTATTCTGGCATATTTTAAAAGTTAATTTGCGATGTCAAGGCTTCAATTACTTTCATTATAATTCCAGCAGCCATTACTCAAGTCCAGTCACATGATCCTTCAGAAATCTTTCTAAAATGCTGATTTGGAGAAAAAACACTTCTTACCAATTTTGGAAAAAGTGGAATAGAAAGTTCAGCATTTATTTGGAAAATATCTTTTTTTTTTTGGTAAAAATGTAAGTATTTACTGCTCCTTTTGATGAATTTACTTCAGTGTATTCAAGTATTTGATCCCATCCTTAGAGGAAATACAGAAAGAAAAAAAACACTCACAGGGAGCTAATATTTCTTACACGGCATTACTAAAATGGCTTACAAGATTAAAGGGTGTTACATATGACATGCCATTTTAAAGCATTACTGCGGGATCTAAAAGAATTCTCTCGATAAACTGTGGCACGGGAAAAGAAATAAAATGGCACTCTCTGCGGCTGAAAGCGCTGCAGGCTAGTTGAGAAGAGAGGCTCCGAGGGCCGGGTTGAGAGGCTGAGGGAGACGGGTGACAAGTGACCCTGAAGAGGGGATGATTCTGTCATTTCTGAGACAGTCACTGTCACTTTTATTCACATTTCAAAAAGGAGCGATGGAAAAAGAGCAGGAATAATGAGGCCGTGGACCTGCAGGCAGAGAGAGAGAGAGAGAGAGAGAGAGGGAAAGCAAGGGATAATAAATAAATGAGGAGCAGCGGGGCTGGTGCGAGCGTCCAAGGTCAGGGGTACATTTACACCTGTCCCTCAAGGCTGCAGGGCTGAAAAAGCACAACTTGAAATCAGATCAGGGGGAGCGGTGTCCTTGACAGTGCAGTGGTGGCCTGGCTGGGTTACAGACAGGGAGGAGGGGGCAGCTTGCCTGCCCCAAACAGCCTCCTGAGGGGTGCACGCACGCCACATAGAAAAATACCAACAGTGGTGTAATCGAGGCCTGTGCTCATGCAGTATTTATTCAGCATCTCTATTATTCATCTCAGACAGACTGTTATGCAGTTCGCTTCACACACACGTGCGTACATTAAAAAACAGGCCCACACTCAGTTAAACATGCCAATGCAAATCGATACACACAGCTAATTGATCTTTTTTAATGGGCTTGCTGGCACCATTGACATGACCACTACTTTTAAAATTCAGCCTTGTAGCTTTTATTGAGTGTGTACATTTACACACAAACACAAGAATCGATTTAATATATATATATATATATATATATAAAAAAAAGCTGCAGCATATTAAAGCCTATTGGGATGGGAATAACCTAATAAACATTTAGGTGTGTGTTGCTGAAAAGTACGTTCAGAAGAAATCTAGTTTATTAGATGACAACTATGAATGGAGTGAGTTTGAATGTGAGTGAATTACCGTGACCAGATTTCTCATGGTGGAATACGGGACCACCAGGCGGAATTATTTCTCATATAAATTATTTCGCAATAAAGATCTTATAAGGCCTAGTTAATTTATTTTTGTTATATAAAAAAGCAGCAAATTATAAACTATACTCTATGTTGGTTTTTCAGGTACATGATTATTTAAAGATACAATATGTAATTTCTTTTGCTGCTAGGGGTCGCTAACCTCTTACAATAACAAAGGAACTATAGAACTTGTCATCGAGCCGATGGATCTAATAATGTTTATGGATGAATGAATACATTGATATTTTTATTATGACTGTGGTTTGAAGCAGGTTGCGATTGCTAATAAGAGATATCAGCGCCACACGCGAATTCCACGGATATAAAGGAATAAGAACATTTAATGCCACCGAACTACCTGCAAGTGTTGAATTATTCACACAGGACAGTTTATTAGATGAATGAAACTTGTGAGGTAATGCTGCGCTATTTCACTTGGTCTACACTATCACACTAAACAGCATTTGAGTTGAGTGTATTGAAAGTTATGTTATGTTGGTTTGTTGGTTATATGAGACTAGCAGTAAACTAGATCAAAATTAGAATAACATACAGATCAGAGTATGTGAGCGTATGTGAGGGTGGAGTGGGAGTGGAGCGAGGAGGATGGAGCGCTACACTATCACTCAATCACAGTTCATTTCTTGCCAACGGCTCATTATAGAGCTGCATTTTTAGTAAGGATTCACACATTAAGCACATTACGCTAGCATGGATCACTCAAATCAGAAAAAAATGTGAGGGTTGTGATGATGCCGAGTGGCTGCGGGTAGTTAGTTGTCAAGCGTACTGGATGTGATCGAAAATTGTTGCCGCTCCACTCCGCTCACATACTCCGATACAGATCAAATTCTAACATTTCATCATGTTGAAATATATAACATTGATTAGTTGTGTATATTTACTCACCTGTCTATAAAGTAGCCTACATGTAAGAGCTCTGTCAAGTCAAAGTTAGTCGCGGAATCGCGGTATCTCAAAAACGCCACGCTGATATCTATCCTCGATTTAATTCTTCTTTTTTCCCCAAAGTCTGCTTGCCATGGTCCATAATGTTTAAACAAAACAACAGCGTGCAGCTAGATGTTAAGCACTACGTAGTTGTCCACGTCTGTTGCCATGGTTACTATCGGAGTACTCCTAGCGGAAACCAGGGATGACGCAGATATTCCGCCATTGACAGGCGACAAGTGAACAGGGATTCCGGGATGGCCAATTATTTAAAAATAGTATTTTCTCTGAAATGAGAAATCTTTGGGAACTTTTGGGATATTGTAAGTACACAACTGCAGGAAATATATCTCACTGTGCAATTATTTTTGATATTTTATTATATAATTCTTACATATTGTACCTTTAACATGTATAATAGGCCTATATTTAACATCTTTTGTTTGATTAACATTACACAAATAGGTATTTTAGGCTGCTGTCACTTTAAGACCGAAAGCTTTTACTGTATTGTGAGATCCTCCAAATGGTGGGATCTTTCAGGCGTACAGAGAACTTAATTTAGTATCTCATGCTGTCTTAGAGGTACTTCTGGTGCGTGTCACCAAATATTTTTCAATATGAGTGTGGAAACTAAAAATAGAGCTGAAATGCGGGACTGTCCTAGGGAAACTGGGACGTCTGGTCACCCTAGTATGAAAGGAGTTTTGGCACTGCGTGCAGATCATGAAAATGTTATAAGGTCTTTTATTTTTGCCTATGTCAAACCCTTCATGGAGTGTTTAAAGGTAAATGTATAATTGCTTTTCAGGCTATTATCGACACAACAGATATCTTTCCACCTTTTTTCCTTATACTATAAAGCACAACTGAAAGCACAAATTGCTTTCATGTACACAGATAAATTTAAGACTAACACAAGCTGACCAAAACTTTGTTTCCCCCTCCTTTGCTTCTCCCTCACAGGGAAGATTTATTCCACAGGCCATAAACAGGATGCAGCTGCCCTGTTCTGCTGGAGGAGCTGGAATCCTGAGTGCTTTTCAGCGGACGACAAAGAGCCAGCAATGCAGCGAAATCCGGCCTTCCCTCTCCAAATAATGAAGAAAGTTAACTCGTTCACTCACCACTTCGTCTTCTGACCAGCACTTCTCGATCAGCTTGGGCACTGGCTTCTTCACCAACCGCTGCAGGGCTTTCCCGGCATCATAGCTGCTCTCATGAAGCTGTGTGAAAGACGACAGAAATTCACATTAAATATTAGCCCTTTTGGAAATGTATCTTTACAAGCTACTCATTACTTACAAGCTAATCATCTGTATGAATCTCAACTAGAGTGACAATATTGCGCTTACAATAATGTTTAAGAATCAGTGTTATTACGAAATGCTAATACAAGTTTTAAAGCATTGAAAACACCACATACAAGTGAACACTAATTTAACCATAACCTCCTAAGTGCCACGCCCCTCTTTTTGAATAAAAATGAAAATGGTTGTAATTCAAGAATGCTTTGGAATATATATGTAAGATTGGTCTTTTTTTAAAGAAGACATTTGGCAGATTTTTGTAGAAGTTAAATAAATTAAGAAAGTGAAATGGAAAAAAGTTATAGAAGTTTGAGTTTATGAATAAGTAAACAAATATTATTCCTATTTTATATAAAATATATTTTTTTCAAAACCTGGTGGACTCTAAAACTGCAAGAAAATCAAAGCCAAAACTCTGAACAAGTTGTGTTTCAAATTTTAGGCTGATATCTCAAAAAATTAGCTCTCAGTAAGATTTGGTTGGGCGCAGTACCCAACTTTTTCACTAGGTTACAACCAGACTCCATTACTTCCCATATAAGGGCACCTCCATTTCCATATGTGTTTTGAGTGATCTGAACCATTACTTCCACAATTTTCATACAGTTTATGAAGTAGGCATCCAATTCAGAAGTAGAAAGGGAAGTTTGGCATATTTTGATATAAATTCAACCTCAATAATCACATACAAATAACACACATGTGCTTTATAGCTTGGTGCCACATCACAAATAGAGAATCTATATTTTTTTTCTTTATATTTAAAACATTTTCAGACTTTTTTTTTCTAAAAAACAAACTGTGGTTTCTACCATTCTTTCATGATTTTCATGTTCATCACTATTTCAAAATGAAGGTCTTGACACGCTTTAGGAGTATGAAAATATTCTTGTTGCAAATTGATAGATTATGGCTCTTCTGTAATTTATTTTGACAATCACCAAATATGTCAAAACTACAGATTGTAAGCTTTCAAAAGATATATAATGTATCAATATTAGTATAAGTTTAGTATAGGATATTACTGTTTTAAATATACTTGAGTCAAAAATACTCAAATCTAATAAAATACTAAATGGAAAAACTCCTGATTTAACTGTTAAACTAAACACACAAATACAAAACAGTGAAGTTAGCAGTGTTGCAACTTTTAGTTAGTTACTCCGCAGTTCATTGTTACAATGTGATTGCAATCGACTCATTTTTCCCAGTGTAAGTACAGCCTGAACACTTTAACAGTGGTTGGATCTCTATAAACGTGTAAGATAGGGTGAGTTTGGACAGCTAGACTGGAAATCTGAAAGCCATTAAGTATTGAGCAGGCAGATGAGTGTGAACTTGAATAACCTAAAATATACTGCCAGAAGAGCAGCCACGCACGCCTCACGGATGATGCAGAAAAACACTTTAATATGACTCGGAAAGTCCAGACAAGCTACTTATTATAACTAGCCGTTAACAATGGAGCGTTTTGTGTTAAACTGATGTCACGTACTATTTAAAGGCGTAAAGTGTCACACATTAGATGTGTTTACAAAAACATTTGAATGCAGAACAATATCCGGTTGAAGTGATGCAATCCTTTTTCCTGCACCACTGGAGACTTTGGCCGAATCAAAATACACATTTCAACATCAGCGATCATTACCAATATGGCTACAACAGAGCAGCTCGTCAAAGACAAACAGATACCTGACTGAAGCACGGGGCAGTTCAAGCCGAAAGCACATTGGAATTGCAGATGAGTGGAAAGAGGTCAAGAAACTGTGAACCCCAGGTCACATTAATTCTCAGCTTATCCACTTCTTCAAGTCAAAATGGAAAATTCATGTTTATTGCATTTCAGGTTAATTTGTCGAATGCTTTTTTAAAGGATAGGAGACAAACAGTGGAATTGGTTTCATAATGGATCACAAGTTGTCCGACATGGGCAGCATTAGCATAAGTGCTCTATGCTCTGTACTTGATCGGGTAACTTGTCCGTGTAGGAGCTGGTAAATTCAGCTTTGTAAAAAAAGCTCAGCTGTCAGCGACCACTGTGTATTAATGAAGCCATGGATTACACCCCTCTTGTTCAGACATCTTACAATCGCAGACATCACTGAGGAGCTCTTCAACGCCAATTTACTAGCGTGTTTTGATGGCCCCTGGTGCCTGTGTCTTTCCCGAGGCGAGGCTGTGTTCAGAGAGCGGCAGCCTGTGGTGCACCGCTGAGAAGGTGAACAAATGTGAGTGAAAACGCTGAGGGATTTTTTTTTCATCTTCTGACAATTAGGCATGACGCCTGCTAGGGACATCTTACTTCACTGTTTCTCTCTGGTGCTGGGCGCTTAATTGGCCAAGACAAATTGGGTTTCAGCTGCTGTACTGAGCAAGTAGAGAAAAATTAGATGCAAAGAAGAGTCTACCGTATAAAGATGACATATACAGGCAGATGTGTCACACTTAAGTTACTTTGAAGGTCAGGAAAATGTGTCAAGACCACACACCAAACAATTAATGAAACTGGGAAATAAATCGAGCCACAAAACCCCTGTAATAATCTATTTTAAAAATAGGGTTGTTAAAACCTTCTCCTCATGAGCCTGAGTGATTAGTTATTTAGAAAATGGCTCTTACTGAAACGTGTGGTCTGTTAAATCACTCTACTGTCTGCAGCTCTTTTCGGTTTAGACATTATGCCATTTTATGGTTTTCTTAACTGAGTAATATGACTGGATTAATTTATCTTTGTGTTGTCTAAATAGCAATGACAATAAATATTGCTAATAGCATAACAAAAATGCACTTAGACTGAATCACCAATTACAAAGCAGCAGATCAGAGTCTGAAAAAGCACTCCGTTCAGCAGCAACATTTTATTGAGAATCTACATTGCTGTTTATTTGCATCTCATGTCTGGTTCTCTAAAAAGTCACCAGATGATTAGAAAATCATGACTGAATAGAACAAGTAACTACAACTACTACTAAGGTATTCATACTGTCAAATGACAAACAGTGTTAAAGCACAAATGCTGTAAAAAAAGAAACTATATCAATATAGCAATGAGGTGTGTGTGAGATAGATCATGCTATTTGCTTCAGCCAATGGCAGCATGGAGTGTAAGTTTAGCAAACATTACTCCACTTTAATACAAGTTACAGCAAAACAAAGCCTGAATGTACATCAGAGGACATATGTTGAAAAACACAGTACAACATTCAATCATGGACAGTAGATATAAAAATTCTATACACCTCTTTGGTTTTGCGACGTAAAAAAAGAAATACATAAAATTAGAACTTTTTTACAACCTATGCAATGCTAGGTCTGGGCGATATGGCCCAAAAAAATTAACACGATCATTTTTTTATATCAGTCGATATCGATAATTATCACGATAAATGTCAAATCTTTATTTCTTTCAAGTTTAAAGGCAGATTTTTGCTACTAAGTGAAGTGAATAAACCAGAGCATTAATTGTGGTTTTAAACTATTGTCAGAAAATATGACAAACACTTGCCAAACACAAGAACATTTGCCAAATCTGAGTTGGAACATTCAAACGTGTCATTTTCCCTTAACAAAATAAATATCTTAATTAGGGATGCACCGATACCACTTTTTAAGGATCGAGTACGAGTACCGATATTTTTTTCCTGGTACTCGCCGATACCGATACCGATGCCTGATTTTCTAAGAACAACACAATGAGACTAATGAACATATAAGCATCTTTATTTTTTTAACAACAAACTTTAACCAATAAATTTAGAGTGGTTTATTGTCAAGAACAATGAATTGGGTAAGCATTTCTGTTATTTTTATTGCTCTTGGGTTATCTTTTGACATTTTCTCTTGCCTTGAAAAGGTTTGCTGCAAAGTTTGTTGCAGAGTGCTAGTGCTACTGCTAGTGGCAAATTCACCGTGCTCACTTTTGTATTTAAATTTCAGATGTTTTATCAAGTTACTTGTATTATACTGGCTTTTGTACCTCCTCTCGATTAGGGGTGTTAATGGTTAAAACCGGTTAGCCGATTAACCGTTTAAAATTGTGGCGTCAATACATTTGCACAAAACGTTTGCGTTTTTTTTCTTCTGAATGTCGATAAAAAAATATTGTGAAATGACAGCGTTTCTATTAAAGATGTTATGCGACTAAAGCATTTTTTTTCTTTCGCAATAAGTCATTCCAAAAATAATGGCAACGGTCTATATCACAACCACCGCACTAAACATTAGCCTATTATTATTTATGTGAGGAGACGTCGTGTGTCATCCAAGCATTAATGGCAGGCAAAGACACAGAGTTTCTTTGTGTTTCTCCCTCATTTCTGCTCCGAGGTCTTGATTTTGGCATTTCTTTGAGGTTTTGTCTAGTAGGCTATTCCTTAATCTTTTATGATTTAAAAAAAAAAAGAACTCTGCCTCGTATTATGTCCAAACGGTCAGTGTACTTGTTTTGTGTTCATTCGTCTCCCCTTATTTAATCCATAGGCCTAATTGCAAAACGAAAAATGAATGGTTATTTTGTAAAACGCAAAGTTGAACACCAAAATGTTCATTTGAACTGTAGGACTACGTCAAATGCTGCGCAAAAATATATAGGATAGGCTATACATATCGACGAATTTTCAGATATTTGTTTGATTTTTTTTGCCCATTTAAACATTTAAAATATTTGGCAAATGAATATGAAAAAAAAAAGATTTTACTGGTTTTCTGAGGCCAAATTAGAACCTGGAAATGATATTTTCCCGCAGTAATGAATGAGTAGAGCCGTAACTAGCCTACAGAAAGGAGATTTATAGATGATTTATAAGATATAATAAATGTGTCTGATAATAAAATAATATAAAATAACGAGACATTAATTGTTTGTTAATAAACTATTGTTTTCTAAATCAGTTTCTGCTAAAAACAAATCTCCATCCCCGGATCCACCTTTAGAGAGAAATACATAATTATAGGCTACATAATTACATCAGAAGATATTGGCTTTCGATTCGAATTTGTTCGTTTTAAATTGGACATTTAAAGCTAAAGCTTTAAATGTCCAATTTAAAACGAACAAATTCGAATGCGGCTGTTTCAGTTCTCGCGCTTCAGTTCACGGAGATCATGATTCATGAAGCGCGCCTGCTGTTAAAGCACAACGTTTTCTTGTTATTGTGAGTTTACGCAAATAAATGTATTTGTCAATAATGTATTATTATTTTCTGTATGACCAGAAATCAAAGAGTATTTTAAGTTGTTTCCACTGAAAGAACTGCAATGAAACTGCAAGTGTTCACATGGGCGTCTCGCAGCCATCAGTGCACGCTCCACACTAAGCACAAACACTGGATATGCGTCAAAATATTGTGTTTATTTGTGCTTTGATCCTTTTTTGGATAAAGGCGTCTACATATGCAGCCTAATAAAATGTTACAATAATGATGATGATCATAAATATTTATTTGCGGACACTGAGTTTTTGCGAAATGGACTTGTTTCTGTAGGCTATTTTCAATTGGCAATTTCAGTTTGAATGGTGGTGGAAATGTGCCTACTTTAACTGCTCTGTACTTATCACTGCGTTTTATTTCTATAAATTAATTCGTTTCAAATGGGGTCCAACCAGTTATTAAAGGTTTTAAAAATTAACTCTGTATCTCGACGTTGCAGCGCTCACACTATGGTTAACCGAGTATTAACGGTTAATGAAAAACTTGAAAACGTGCAGCCCTACTCTGGATATTAATGCAGAAATAATCGTGCAGATTGCCATGCGTGGGTCGTCATCATTGATTTTGAAAATATTTCCACACTGCTGAGGCTGACATTGCATCTGGTGTCTCTGTGTGCACTGGAAAGTTCTGTCAGTTACGTCGCGTGAGGTATCGGTCTTTGGTATCGGGGTATTTTTACGAGTACGAGTACAAGTACATGAGCTTGGTATCGGGCCCGATACCCGATACTGGTATCGGTGCATCCCTAATCTTAATCGAAAAAAAATTCTTAGTTTCTGCATGTTCTATTTTTTATTTGGTAAAATATAATATTCAGACTGTTTGAGTTTTATTAAAGCCAACCATTGGTCATCCAGCATCTTGCATTTAGATCATGATAACCACAGATAAAACCGGGCATAGCCTATAGCACCTCACTATCATGGCAATGTGTTACTTTATGGTTTCTATGGTATTTGTATGAAAACCTGTAGCCTATACATTAAATAACGTTATTATATTCCATTAGTCCTTGCATTGTCTACATTATAATACAATTCAATATGTATATCCCAAATTTCAAAGCGCAGTTATTAGTAGGCTAACGTTACAGTAAATCCGTGGTAAATGATGGGATTTGTAAACGGAAAAGCCTTCAGACTGTATCATTGCACACAGTGTTTCTCCTGTTCGTCAGCGCCGTTTCATCTGCCTTTAAAATGGTTTAAATCACAGGGACATGTGTGTTCTTCGCTGAATTCAAGCGCTTCTCACTGGATCTCGTGACCGAGGCCATTTAGAGTAAACGCATCTGCCCAAGTGAGCTCGCGCTCGCGCTGCTGTTTGGACTTTGAGCCGAGCTAAAACAGTCCGTGAGGTGCACGCGGTTCAAATGAGTTTCGTTATGCTTTTGGCACATAAACATTATCTAACATTTATCAAACTCTTGATATCGTTTTATCTAAAAAAAATTATATTGTGATAACTATTATTATCGTTTTAATCGCACAGAATTACCTAATCACGCTCACATGTAATAGTATACGCCAAGTAGAGAAATCATGGCTAGGACTAGGTATCGTTAATTTTTTCCCCATTTCGATACCTTGACTTCGATACTGGTTCCTGAACGATACTTATTTCTATAGCAACAAGATTACATTACATATCACCTAAAACTTACTTTTTTTTTTATTCAGTTTGTTGACTTTTTTTATAGACTCATATAGGCCACTGGGGGCAGAATATATGTCTCGAGCTCAAGCGCACACATAAAGCTTGCTGCAAAGCACTGGCAAAAATTTGCTTTGATTATGAATGTGTTGGGGAAAAATAGCAAGGAGACATTTTAATTGTTTTTTAATAACCTAGTGTTTTCGGAGTCAGTGTTGACAATAAAGAAGATACGCTGAATTTAATTTAATTTTTGACGCGTTCCAGTTCCTCTTGCAGTCGAAGATGGAGAAACTTTCTGCTCTTAAGTTTACTTTGTGCACTGTTCATTAGGTTTGTCATGTTGCTGGTCTTGACAGTAATTATCTTGTCGCAAATATTGCATTTAGTCGCAAATATTGCAGTTAGTGATTCCAAGTTTATTTTCTATGCGTCACTGGCTTTCAGTGCATTGCATAACCCAATAATGTCTTTATAGAGATGCTTTAAGTCTTTCTAGATGTAATACATAAACAATAATGAACTAAAGAACTACACAGTTGTAAGAGTTTTTAGTTAGATATTTCTAGGTCCTTATTTGTTCCCATGGATTCTAATTAGTTCTGTACATATTTTCAGTTCATTTAAATTGTCAACCTCATAAGCTCTTTGTTCTCCCCAGGTCTTTGTCTTGCGATAATGTGACGAAACAAAACATTGTATGTTTGCTTTGTGTTTGATCTTCATTGTTCCTGTTCTGTGAGTATTTTTGGATGTAAATTCAAGACTTCTAAATTGAAGACAATTTCGTCAGGTTTACTGATGAGCATTTCTTGACAATAGCTAAAATTAAAAAAAAAAAAGTAAAAAAAAAATATTGTAGAATAAACAAGTTATGACAACCATTTGAATCACTGTCTCAAACATGATCATAAAACGTTTAATTACAATAACTGACAACAGAAACTTACATTTTATTTTGTGCATAAATCTTAAAATGTTTTTCTTGGTTAAAGTGACTGAAAATAATGGAACATGTCATAATCACAAAAATGAATGAAACTGTTGTTTCACTCATGTTGTTTCATTGTACTCACAATGTAGCTTAATTAGCCTACTTTTAATGCAATAGCTTATTTTACATAAATCTATTAATATCCTTTGTGCTCAAATTTACTGCACTGAAATAATTATTATATTATAAACATTCTTTCACTTATACATTGTGCTGGTACTATCTTATGAATTACATGATTACATGATTACATCATAAGTTTCAACAACGTGTTCATAATGTAATACATCTTTCATACACATTTGTTATTACATTGGAAAATCGTTTTTACATTGAGCTCAAGATTTTATTACATCTTGACAAAAATTATTAGAAACATTTTATTATACTAATAATGTAATACCCATTACATCATGTGTAGCTATTACATTATGCTTTGTTGTGACTTTGAGTTGCTACACAGCTTCTACATAAAACACATCACTATCCCGATGTTACTCAATGCTAATTTTACTGTTAGCTAAGAGCTCCTGATCTCCAGATCTTAAATCTGGAATAAGGGCTAGTTACATTGTGAACAGTGTGTGTGTGTGTGTGTGTGTGTGTGTGTGTGTGTGTGTGTGTGTGTGTGTGCGTGTGTGTGTGTGTGTGTGTGTGTGTGTGTGTGTGTGTGTGTGTGTGAACTTACAGTGTTTAATGCGTTAAGTGTAGTGTCATCTCGTGAGGCGGCGAGGCAGCCGTCTTCTGTTGACCCCCCATCACACATCCCTGCAAATGCTGCCATGCTCCTGACAACCAGAGAAAGGGAATATTGATGTCCAAGATAACAACAACACATTGTATAACACGACTAAAATCCGGGGAGAAGGTAGGGCTTACCTGGCTGCCCGCAGGTACATGAGCAGGTCACAGTCGTTGACCCCAGGCATCCAAACCAGCTCCTCATTCTCTGTCACTGCCTGACCTCCAGGAGAGGGAAAGGGCTGGAGTTCTGGCAGCTTGGCCTAATTTGGCAAAGCGCAGAGGGGACAGACAGCTGTGGTCACAACACAAATAGCACTAGTGGTGAGTGCTAAATATCAGTTTTCAAAATCATCTAATCTCTGTATGCGTCGAGCCGACGGAGGGGAGCGAACAATCACTGGCTCGCTTGAATCAAAGAGGCAACTAAACATTTAGTTTCCCATTGTGTGTATAAATATTGCATTTATACTTTTAAAGGTGATATTGACACAAGACTTAGGTGGTTACCAGGGTGCTGCTATGCAGCTTGTAAGAGTGTTTTTAGTTTGTTATTAAGGAGGTTGTGGGAGGCCTAATGCCAAAGTATGAGCAAGCATAATTAATAGATATGCACTACCATTTTGTTTGGGGTCGGTAAGAATTTTTTTATGTTTTTGAAAGAGGTCTTTTATGTTCACAAAGGCTGCAATCATTTAATTACCAAATACAGTAAAAACAAAAAACTATAATATTTTGACATTACTATATAAAATAACTTTTTCTATGTTGTCGCACAAACCTTCAGAAATTCTAATATGCTGATTTGAGGATTATTATCAACAGCACTCTTTATTTGAAATAGAAATCATTTGCAACATTATAAAATAATTTTTAGAATATATATATATATATATAAAATCCTATCTGAAGATCAATTTAATGCATCCTTGCTAAATAAAAGTATTTTCTTTGAAAAAAAGTAACTGACCTCAAACTTCTGAACGCTAGTGTATATTATTCGCACAGGGAAAAATAAAAAAACATGGCAAAAACATAGTGTCCTGAAATCCTCGACTAAATCCCTTCAGTAGAATGTTGCCAGAGTTAAATACAAAAATCATGTGCTCAAATAAATCTTAGAGCAAACCACAAAAGTAATTTCCTAAGTTATATCTAGCATTTAGATCCGGCCCGTGTTGGATCAATATCCATGGTGCGCTAGCCTGTAATAGCTGGCTTTGTAGAGCTTTATTACCGAACTTCATCTAAAGTCATTTGAAGTAACCCTGGGCAGAGGTCCTGCCACTGGTTCCACTCCGCATGATAACTCGAATGAATCTCTGGGAAAATATACACTATAAAACCTCTGACATTAATTGCCCGTGGTACTCTGTCTTTTTCATCGAGTGCCATCTTCTTTAGCGATCTTCCTTTTGGCTTTTCAATTTCAGACCACTGTGACCGTTCCTAATTCCCATAAAACACAGTTGAATGTTTCTAATAAATCCCACATACACAGAGCAGCCAATTTCCAAACACACTATTCCATATGAGTGCTGCACTGCATGAAAAATCCATTAAGTATTTTCTTGAATGCGCTATGAGGACATGTTCAAGTTAAGTATGCAGGTGACAGAAGACCAGTAGTAATATAATTGAGCTTGTCAATCAAGCCACTGCTTAATATGAGCTTTGGAAATCTTTGTTCAATCTACACCACACGCAATGTCAGGGAAGACAAGGTTTCAGATAACATCCTAAGAATTTGTAAAGAAACATACCTGGTGACTGGGACCGACTCGAATCTCCCCTTGTGTACTGTTTAATCGCCTGAGAGAAAAGGAGAGAGAATGAAAAAAAATAAAATAAATTGGTTGTGTGGTTTATGAAATGTCATACACTGTGTTTAGCTATTTTTAATAAGTGTCGTATGGGAAATTGTGCTTCATACAATGGAGATTGACATCTGAAGTTAGTACTCAAATTGTATTAGCATTAAAAGGCCCAGATTGTTTACCTTCAGGCTATAACAGCCTTTTAGCAGCTTTCTTTACCTCTCCAAAAACATTTTCAATGCTCTGATGGTGCTTTTAATGTATTACATGGCTTTAGCAGCACATTAAAATACATCACATTAATGCAAGATTCACATTACTGCACAATAGAGGCTAAGAGGAAATGGTGTGGATTTAAATCTATAGACCAAACAAAGGCGGCGAACAGCGCAGTTGACGTTTCTCATTGTTTTTGTGGAGGTACACTACAAAAGCCCCCAAATAACCAGATGATAAGCAAGGGGAGATGAGCCCTGAAATGGCTGCTGTTGCAAACCCATGGCAGTAACCATGGCAACTACAATTTAATAATAGTGTTCCGATCTCCAGCTGCAGTGGATTAAAGAAAATGACAAGATGTTCCTTTTGAAAAGCCTTCCTCGCTCTGTTGCCACGGCAACAGCACTGATTTTCATATAGCAGGCACAGAGCGGGGCCCAGAAACTGTCACTATGATTTGCGTCCAGAGTAGCTCTCACTCCACCGCCGGGCTGACTGCCCGAACCTGGCTGCAAAGTGAGGAGAGGTTAGGGCCTCAAATCATATCCCTCCTTCATCTGGGTACATTTCATAAACAACCCCTCTCTCTCCCTCCAGCATGATCCACTAAAAACACAAGCTCTGTCAATGGAGGAAATTCCACACTGAAGCAAATATGGCAGACAGATGAAGAAAAAGCAGACAGGCCTGCATTAAAAGCTTTTCAACATTGAGCTGTTTAACGTTTTAAGAGTCTGATTCTAATGCTCACGGCTCCTATAATGAAAGACAAATCCACATGAAATAAATTGCAAGGCAAGCATTAATGTGCTCTTGTCTGAAACTGAATCTGCTGCGAGATGATGGCGATAGCGGAGGGGAGAAATCACTCGGCCGGGTTCCTAAACATTCTGCAGGCTCTGCATTTTTGGAGGGTCTGAGTTAGGCAGCAAACACACAAGAGTCTTGATCAGTTAAATCGCAAACAGCACGTATTGCAAAGAAAAATCTCTCCAAAATAAGAATATGAAAAAACAATAGTTTATTTAAAAATGACTATTCACAGGATCACGGTTTATCAAGATTTAAAAACTTGTTAGATTAAGTTTTTTAATTCCAGAACTTTAAAATTATAATTATATGCATTCAAACTTTTCCATTCAAATTTTGCCATTATCTGCTAAATGCATGAATTCTATTGTTTAACCCACAGGAATATATTAATTTGAAGTATTGAAAAATACTTCAGAAATATTAATTAAGAAATATTAAAAGTTTGACATACACACACACACGCGTACATTTCATGGAGTTTGTGTGAGTGTGTGTGTGTGTGTGTATATATATATATATATATATATATGTGTGTGTGTGTTTATATATATATATATATATATATATGTATATGTATGTATGTATGTATGTATATTACACACACACACACACACACCACGAAATGTTTAAAAAGTTTACTATTAGCACAGGCAAATATTAACTTTTAACAAAAAATAGAGAATCTGTATTTTAATGATGCACATTCTTTTTGCAGGTATAACTGGGACTTCCGGGCAAGTCTGACATGTCGAATATAAACGTATACACTTTGTAACAAACTATTTTGTAAATTCCTTTTGCACTGGTATTCTGTTGAACTGAAAAAACTCTGACCAAATGAAGTAGTATAGAGTTCATCTGAAGCATAGAGTTAATCTGAAGGGAGTTTAATAAAAGTCTGCTTTAAAAAGTAAAACAGCAACATGTGTGAACACTTATGCAGTGACGCTTCCTGGCTTGACATCCTTTGAATCAAAAAGGTCAGAAAATTGCACTGGAAGGGCAAATGAAAAATATCAGCATGATATTCCTCAGTCATGCCTTAAAACATTTAAGATCAAAACCTCAGATCAATGCATTTTAACTTGGATAGAATAAACAGTTTATAAACTAATGTTTATGAAATAATACAAACATGGAGCAACTCCCAAACACACTTATTATACACTATATCTTTAATTACAACACTATCTCTAGCACATGAAGCGCTGTCAACAAACACAACATCCTGCATATTTTGACTCGACCACGAGCACAGCAATCAAGCCTAGCCCCGCCCCCTCCATCAATATCCCCCAATCCCAGCACGACTTAGGGACTCTCATAACACATTGCATAAATAAAGCAAGCGCCTCAACAACTTTATTTACACACCGACTAAAGCCCTTTAAAACAACGGAGGCTTTGCGTTATACATTTGAAACTCCATCCTACGCCATGACATTCCGACTGTAGTCACAGCATAGCGTATTGTCAATTCATAATAGGACGATTTTTTATATAATTTATAAGTCTAAAACCATTAAAGTGGAATATCTTATGTCGGGACAATTCGCACTAGCGTGCGTTCAAACCCGCTTTATTTCACACGTTCATAGCACTAATGATGAAAGCACACAGCGTTGACATTAGCACAGACGGCTAATGCTACTGACAGCAACACAAACAACCGGGCAGCACTGTCAACGCGATTTAAAGCACGGACAGCTATTTTCAAGACAAACACGTATATAGCATTACAACAGGCGCGCGAGGCGGGTACGTCCAGAATGACGCACGCCGATATTTTAACAGGTGAAGACGAGCATGCTAACGTACCTGCGCGGACTGAACAGGTCGTCCATGTCGGAGCCAGAGCTGCGGTTTGATTTGACAGAGTGAGGAATAAAGTGTCCCCTCGCACCTATTTGTGTAGGTACTCAAAATGGAGGCTCAGGCATTCAGTCAGCTTTTACACTGAGCTTGTGCCGTGACCGACAGACAGCACTGAGCATGTGCCGCGACCTCACACACATACGCAGAGGAATCACAGCCCATCTCTCCTGCTCACACACACCATGCTGCTGCTGCATACCAAACAAGCAGGAGGAGGGAGTGGAGAGGGCGATAGACTGTGATTGAGTGGGGGACCCGTGAAGGGGGCTCCCAACCAGCAACAGTACACCATTGCTCCTGTTTATCCGCCACAGCATCTTATAGCCCTCAAATATCCCCTTTCTTCTCCCCGGGCTCCTAATGCACCCCATTATTGGAGCATCACATGACTATGGTAATGGGCCCTAATGTAATCCTGCTTTTTCCCTGACACAACAGCATACAGGCTATGATTGTTACACACAAAGGAATAGGGGATTTAACTATTCATTCCCATTACGCTTGAACATTTAATAGAGAAGCGTGAAACAGATTTTTTTTTGTCAATATCGTATGTTTAAATATAATTATTGCACATCATCTGCAAATAAAAAGATTGTACCCCCCACCCCCTCCATTTCATTTACACTATCCTAATTAAAATTTATTTGCAGATGTGGTTTGGATTTCAAATGCTTAAATAATCTTTGTATGCTTAAATGCATCTCAGATTACATCAATTACATTGGTTTTAAATTTGAGCGTCCAAATAGTACATTTTTATTCTAAAATAAGTAGTCCACAAAAAAGACATACAGCCATTACAAAAGACAAGTCATTGTCCTTTAAAACACTGTAACGCAAGTGCACCACACAGAGACAAGGCCGTAAAACAGGCAATGGACATTCTTTGAGCAAAACCGGGATTGCTAATAAACTGTGAGAGGTGTATTAAGTTCCATTATTAATACTAGACTAGCATTTCAAACTCGCAGTGAAAATCATACAAACAAAAATCCATCATACAAAATCCATTTCCTGTCCTTTCAGCTCTATTGGTATTTTAATTCATCATACCAAGCAACTGTGAGAAAATGATGTCAAAGGACAAGCATAGCGTAAAAACCAACTAACTTCTTAAAGCAAGCAAGCCTAAAAATCAGACTCCAATAACAACCAACTATTATATTTTAATGCTATTAAATAAATATTATGTTTAAATATATATATAAACATTTTTTATGAATTTTTCTATTTATTAATCTTGTATGAATACACAACCATTCAAAATATATTTTTTAAAGAAATAGGATTAAGGATGAAAAAGTGACATGATTACAGACATTTATAATGTTACAAAATATTTACATTTCAAATAAATGCTGTTCTCTTGAACTTTCTATTCATAAATGTATCATAAAAAGTATCAGTTTCCACAAAAATATTAAGCAGAACAACAGTTTTCAACATTGATAATAATAAATATTACTTAAGCACCAAATTAACACATTAGAATGATTTCTGAAGGATCAAACATTAATCCTGAATTAACTTTGAATTTATGTTCCATTTATGATTAAATTAAAGCATGATAAAATTCCCAAAAACGCTGGAGATGGAAAATAAATCTCTACATGCTTGTCAAAGACAGTGTCCTTGATTTAATCTATTCACAACTGCCTTTATGCATTATAGGACAATTTAGAGTGAATACAACAAAACCAGACACTGCATACCTGATAAGAATCACAAAATCTCTATTTGTAAAATATTGCAACAGAGGATCTGAAGACAGAACATGCCTGAGGATGCCTGATTACTGAAGTCAGTAAAGGCTTACCTGGTTTCTGGGTTATATCCTAAGATGTAGAAGAAAGAGTCGATTCGTGCTTTGAACTCCCTGGCAGCAAATATGTCAGAAAAGTGTGAAATGTTACATTTCCCCCTGCAAAGAAATAGAGCAAACAAATCAGTGTCATGGTGCAAATACATCTCCAGGTTTACTTCAAAGAATAGTTCACTCAAAAATGAATATTTTCCATTATTACTTACTCACCCTTATTTATATTAATATTATATTTATTTATTGAATCCACCCAAATGCTGATCCAAAACTAAATGCTGTTTTTTTCATAATGTTCCTCCTACCTTTGTGTAAATAATAATCATTTATATTTTGGGTTGGTCCTACGCCTTTAAGAGACAGTGTCTGATAGCTGACACGTCTCGTCTAAGCTATTGCTATAGGTTTGTAAGTGCGGGTAATCTTGTGGGTTACAGTATTCCTGTATAGTTGTTTTATTAATGCCCTTTCCCTTCATCCTGTTAGACAAACAAAAGATACCGGACACCACATGATTTTCAATAAATGCAGAGCGAACAAACTCTATGAATTGTGACATTTTTACAATGCCCCCCTTCTACATTACATTTTTGACATCAGGGGCCATCAAAATAATAGGCATCAGTGTTTTTGCACTGGTTCAATACCTTCCTCATAAGATGAAAGGAACATGAGGTTTGGAGCAGGAATTACGACATGCAAGCGGAATTCACTGAGTTTATCTAAAGCCCTGTAATAAGTCAAATCAAAGGGGTCTCTGTGCAGCAGAAGTTGCAGCTAATTTGCCCTGAAATCAGTGGTTCAGAGCTGTGCGCTGCCTCCAGATGGTTTCAGTTAAGAGAGAGGAAAGGAAAGGAGGGAGGAAGAGAAAGAGAGAGGCGAAAATGCATCACTTGGGTAAAGACGGACTGAAAAGGTCTGGTTTCTTGACAATAAGCATGCCTGTACTCTTTTTCCTGAGCCTCATCGCAAAAAAAACGTAATTGCTTTTAGTAATGCTTTGCACGCAGAATCGCTGTGAAATGGTTGTCTGTACTGAGACGGCTACTCCTGTGGTGAACTGAGAGGATCAAAATGTCTGTTTACAGCTCTTAAATACTCAAGTCTTAGATCCCAGAGCATCTGTACATGCCAGAGGTTTCTTTAATGACCATAAATCTGAGCTAGTGCTGGCTCTTAAAAGGAATATTCACAATTTATTGGTGTAATCATTAGACTAGTTTTAGAAGTTGCCAGTATGAGTATGACAGAGTATGAATGCCAGTACAAGACACGTTTAATAATTTACATTTATAAGAAAAATGTATTGATTAAAAACATTTTAGTTTAAAACGCTTTAACTGAATCATTTCAAAACTCAAAGTAGCTACTTGTTTGCACTATCCAAAAAGGCCATATGCAGGATGTTTCATATATTTAGAAATTAAATATAAATATAAAAACTATTATTCTTGTAATTTAAAAGGACATTATGAAGGATTGAAACGAGAGAGAGAGAGAGAGAGAGAGAGAGAGAGAGAGAGAGAGAGAGAGAGAGAGAGAGAGAGAGAGAGATAAGAGAATCCTTGCCGTCTTCATTTAGAAGAAAAAGTATTTCACTTCCAGTAAACATTTAGAATCTAATTGACTATTCATAATGGGATATAACAGGTCTTTTTATTGGAAAAAATTAAACGCATAAATATTGATATAATCGTATCAAAAAACGATTATTTTGTTTAGAGATTTTGAAAAGAAATTTTGTTTTCCTCTATTTAGTAAACTCTTATTAGGCAGGTGCTGATACTGCTGTGGGTAAAGTGACTGAATTCCTAACCACAGTTGAATTTAATAGTTTGTGTGTGTGTGTGTGTGTTACCTGAGGGCAGCAGCATGATAAGTGTCCACATAGTCTGAGATGAAAAGCTCTCTGCTCTTAACCACGGGATCAGTAATAACCAGCTCACGACCAGAGTCTGGAGAAAGAGACAAAAAGCAGACACGGAGCGTGAGAGGCATCCAGACTGCCGCTAATAAAAACGTGCACACATAATAAACACATGCACGAAACAAAAGAAACCAGACAGATTCACATACACAGCTATGCAATATGATAGCTATAGACTTATAGACTATGACAGTAACAGTACAGTAGCTCTTGGAAATAAACAATAAAACTTAATGGGTTTCAATTCATCAACAACAAAAGACAACATTTAATGCAAATGGAAAAGCTAATGAAGCTTTATATTTGCTAAACTTTATATTTATGGCCTTTCAGGCAAATATTTCCAGTGACAAATGTCACAAAGATCCATACAGACAGTGTTTGATGAAAATTTGTCTTCAGATGGTATTAGCACAAATTACAATGGCCGCCATGTCAGGCTAGTCAATGGTGCAGCAGGTGGCGGCTGCTGCTCTCCAGAAGGCTGGCAGAAATGCAGGCCTTCTTAATGCTTTATTAGAGTGCGGTGTGAATCAAAGTGGCAAAGACCCAGCCAGGCAGACCCCCTCAGCCTGTTATTACTGCCTGATGTGTGTATCAAGCTCAGATTTGCTGCTGATAGTCGGGAGAATGAGAGCTCCAAGGGCACATTACACTGAAAGTTATTTGCACTTCATGGCACCGCTGTCGCTCTTGAGGGAGCGTTACCAGGGAAACAAGGGCAGGAGGGTGGTCTTTTTTTTCCGAATCCTCATTTATTTGAGATGCCGTTCTCTATGAAACTTCACAAACCAATAACCAGGGGTGGTTACATAAATGAGAAGGACTCTTCAAACAAAATTCTTTGTGTTTGTTCGACCGTCACACACACATACCGTTCTCATTGTTGCGGTCCTGCACCAGGTGCTGGTAGACGGAGTCAGGTACCTCAGACTGGCGGTAATACCATTTCACATTCATTAACAGATGGTCCCGTTTACTCTGAAAGAGAAAAATAAACATTCCGTAAAATAAACAGATATTGTTCGTTTGTTCACAGCGTCTCAAATTTGGCTCTTAGCGAACGTGAGTCTGTGCCACCACTGGGTTTATAGTTCTAGTCGTTCCGTGCCAAAAGCTCTTGGTGAAACAGAGTCAATTAAAAAGGGATTGAAGGCAATTCATTCTTTAATAAAGGAAATGGCTCCATGATCATGTGTGGGAGCCTCGGGAGGTGAAGAAACATGGATGGGGCATATTTATGTAACAAAAAAAAAATCTGAGTTAAAAAAAAAAAAAAAACGAGGCCAGCTTTGTCTAGCTAAACATCAGTTGCCGCTCCCCTCTTTTCCACAGCTGCACTTTGAACTCTGCCACCCGCTGTCTATCCAAGGGACTGCACACAGTGCCAGTTTGCTTCAGTACCGCATAATGACCAGCAGTGGCAGCACTGAGTCATGTCC